TTTTGTTTTGTTTTTTTTTTGCATGACCTGCTTTATGTCTGTTGTTGACCACTGTTCCTTTATTCACCTTCATGATCTGTTTAAAAACTGAATCTCATTTTTTAATAAATTTATTTATTTGTTTTTATTTATTTTTGGCTGCATTGGGTCTTCGTTGCTGTGCGTGGGCTTTCTCTCTTTTCAGCAAGCAGGGGCTACTCTTCCTTGTGGTGTTCAGGCTTCTCATGGTGGTGGCTTCTCTCGTTGCGGAGCACGGGCTCTAGGCGCACAGGCTTCAGTAGTTGTGGCACATGAGCTCAGTAGTTGTGGCTCGCAGGCTCTAGGGCGCAGGCTCAATAGTTTTGGCACACGGGTTTAGTTGCTCCATGGCATGTGGGATCTTCCCAGACCAGGGCTGGAACCCGCATCCCTAGCATTGGCACGCAGATTCTTAACCACTGCGCCACCAGAGAAGTCCCATGAATCTCATTCTTTTAATTTCTTTTATTTATTATTCATTGAGTCTGATTTTATAAGGCTTAGTATTGGAATTGTTTTGTTTTGCATTTCTGGGACTTTCTAATATTCCTTCTCTCAGTTTGCCCCCTATTGAGCCAACTGTCCAGCTGTCCCATCTTGCAACTACCTGCAAATGGACAAAGGGACTGATTCGCTATCACCACGAACTGTCTTGTCAGTCACACAGTGTTGAGTGGCAGCCAGGCCTGGCTTCCTGTGAAACTCCCACCCAAAGTCTGCCTTGCTGTGGGCACTTCCCACCTCCTCATTTTAATGTAAATAACTTAATTGCATTGATGGTCCATTTAATTTCTAAACTATAGGTTTTAGAACACAAAACAAAATCACAGCGTTGGAGAACACAGTTTGCAGAGACCCATGTTTACCCAGAAGCTGTAGTCAGCAAGGCTGTGCTGTGTGAGTGATTCCGGGTGTTGTTTTTATTTTTTGGTAAAATAGAACTGTTGTGCAGAATGGCCTCTTCTTAGCCGTCATTCTGGTTAAATGAGGTGGCTGCTTTTCAGAAGTGCTGGGAGTGGGTTTTACTCTGGAGAGAGGTTCAGATCCACCCTCCTGGGGTCCCTGGAAAACTGTGGGCTAGCAAAGCAGAGACCTCACCCCTGCCACGTCCAGACAGGTCTGCCTGTCCCAACACTGGTTTAGCCTCCAGGACCACCCACCTGGGAGGAGGCCAGGCCCTGCTAGACGTGCACATTGATGATGATGACAGGCCAGGTTGCGGCTGGGTATGTATGTGTCTGTCTGGCTGGCTGGCAGGAGGGATGGAGGGAGGCAGTTGTTCAAATGCCTGTACTTGCCAAGAGTGAAGTGAAAAGCTGAAGGAGGATGCAGGAGGCTTTCACTTGCCCTCCTCACACAGGCCACTCGGCCCCACACAGGCAGATTGGACTGGGTGCTGCCAGGGAGGTGACAGATCACACTTTCGCAGGATGAATGGGTGCGGTGACTCAGGCTGCAGGGGACTTCCCGGTGCATCAGTCCGTCACCGAGGGCAATCCAGAGGCTGAAGGGCCGCGTGATTAATTGTCAGGCTGTGCTGACTCACTAGCTCTGCAGTGCTGATTCCATTTGGGGTTGGGAGAGGTGGGCAGGGCTACTCAGCCAGAGACCGTAGCCCACACGACCAGGTCTCGGAAGTTTTATAGAAGGGCAACCACAGTTTGGATGTGTGGAGAATAAATAAGAAACTAGTAAAGAGATTACATATAGCAGTGGAAGAGATTTTTTTAAAAACCCCCATCTAATTTAATATTAATTTTCATTTTGTATCCAGATGTCACATTTTCTACATTTAAGATATGATCATACTGACTCCGCCACCCCTTACAGGGACAGGGGATGGACGAAAGCTTCTCAATCTATACCTTTCTGTAGCATTTTGATTTTGAGCCTTGAAATACATTTACAAATTTTGTTCTGTTTTGGCTGCACCAAGCAGCTTGTGGTATCTTAGTTCCCCGACCAGGGATTGAACCTGGGCCCACGACAGTGAAAGCACCAAGTCCTAACCTCTGGGTCACCAGGGAAGTCCCTGCATTTACAAATTTTAGAACACATACAGAAAAGTAGATGGACGGCATAAAAGCATTCATGTATCCCAGTGATTTTCCCACTGATATCAGTTATTTCAGCATTCACGGTGTCTATTCATTCTGAAGTTTACCTTCAACACAAGAGCATCTGACGAGAATATTTAAAGTAATAAACATTTGTTGGAAATGAAAACCTGTACGTATTTAACTATCTTGCTACACTTGGCAAGTGGGAAGGCCGTTGTGCCGAGGCTTTGAAGCGTGCAGAGGGACGTGCGTCTTTAACTGCCTGTGACTGTGCTTTTGGGTTTGTGAAGGACAGTGAGCTCTTGTGAGCAGTGAGCAGAATCCCTGCTCTGGGATTATTTTCTCAGGCGCTACTAGTTTTATGGCCACGTGCCGTTGTTAAAACTCTGGATGTATAAACAGTCCAGCATAGTCCTACATCTGTCTCCAGACGATTCTAATGTTCTGGTAGCAGTGGGTCAAGGTGCACTCCGGTGTCGCTGTCTCTTGTGTGAACCCGGCTTACCTCTCCGGCATCCTTTCCTCATCCCGAGGAGTGAACTCTGCGACCCGAGGACAGGAAACAGGACCCTCCCTCTGTGTGATTTTCTCCATATTCACATCAGAACATGAGTGGCTGCGTCCACTGGCGTCACTGCTCAGGACTGTCCTGCCGATTGCGCCTCATTTGATGCATCATGCCTGGTGGTCTGTTGGTCTGTGCTCAGTTTGTGTCTTCCCGCTCCCCAGGAAACAGACTTTATAGTCTGCATTAAGGAGAATGAAGGTGGGCTCTCCCCCACAGCATCCTTTGCCAGAATATTCCGAGGGGGAGCACCTGCCCTCCCCCGGTGAACTTACCCTTGCAGAAGCCAGGGTCTCTGGTCGGACTTGTCCTGGTCTCTGCCCCCTCCTGAGAGGGATCTGCTTGCAAACTGCATCTTCAGCTGCTGCCACAAGGAACTATGTGCTTGCTTCCCCTTCTGCTTTTCTTCTCTTCCTTGCCTCCCTCCCTTTTCCCCATGTTAAAAATATAATTCCATGAAATCCCTGAGACAGAAGCATCAGAGCTGTTGGGTGTGTAGTGGGGGAGGGGCTTGCTTAGGAAACACCATTTCATAGTCGTGCTCTTCCTCGCCTCCCCGCTCTTTCTACCCCGGCCTTAATATGTCAAATCTGTAGCTTGATCTGGGGGAAAGCAGACACAAGAGGGGACCCTTGGAAAGCGGCTGTGTGGAGGAGTCTGGGCTGCCAGAGCCCTGCATCTCTCTGGGAGCTTTCCACTGGCCTGTGTGTGCACTGCATCTGTGGCCTGCATTTCTGGGCCTTTGTAGTTTCAAGGACTGTTTTCTCTTCCTTATAAGGAGGTAATTGGCCAAGTCAAGAGGGCAAGCAGGTGCCTGGTGGCCTGTGTCCCAGCATCCTCAGAAGTCAGAGCCCTGCAAGTCCCTGGCTCCCCGGTCGCGGACAGGGCTGGGATGGCTGATGGGGTGATTCTTCTAAACCAGTTCATAAAGGACACCTGCTGAGACCTGAGAGTGAGGATGGACAGGACCAGAGAGCATTATTGTGGTTCCCACCTGCATGGCAGCCTCGTCTAGACAGAGGTCTTTCAACATGGACAAGATAATTGCCGTTTCCGATACTGAAGACGTATTAAAGTTATAGCTTCACATACTCCCACAGGTGCCTCAGCTTCCGAATTAGCAGGATATGACTTAGTGACACGTCGTTTACTCTATGATGAGACATGTGCTATGAGCTTAGCTGTAAATGTGTGGGCCTGGATTTGACTTGTGGAATCTCTGGTTTCAAATCAAAGGACATTGGCTTCATTCTTAGATGCAGGCGCCTAAGCCTTGTCCCTGGACACAGGCACTGCACTACAGGCACCAAATGAGTGCTCCCTCCCAGCCCCTTCTGGACAAGTCTCTGCAGAGGGCATCACGCTGATGCCTTTTAGTCCATTTGTCAAAACCTTCATTCAAAGTGAGGCATCCCTTATGGGAGCGACTTGAAAGCTGCATGCTTTATTGGCTTCCCTGGCTCTTGGGGATTATTATCCTGCTAACCCGAGCCCCTGGTGCCCCTGCTTCCTGACCACCCCCTCCATCTCGCTCAATTACCACTTAAACAGCTGAGTCCAGTCGCCACCTTATTAGTTTATTGATGTGAGGAAGAAACACCTCATTATCAAAGCACCCTGAGAAGTGGGCCAGCGTGGGAGAGAGGGGGTCAGGGCTCCGGGCTGCAGTAAACAGCAGGTTCCGTCTGCAAAATCGCCCTGCCCCTGAGAGGGCTTCACACAGGGCGTGCCCCTGAGCCAGCGGTGCCCTGCAGAGGTAGAGATGTATTGCAGTGCATAACTTTCTCCTTTTATTCTCAGAAACTCAGATCTTAAAATTCCGGTTCTCTCTTCTTGAATGGCCTTTTTCCCCTAGAGTGGAGCATGCTGGGAGCTGATGGAATTCAATGTCTCCCTGTGGACATGTTACCCTAAATCACAAAGCAGTTTTTCTGGGTATTGATCCAGGGCACGTCCCAGCTTGAAAGGCGCAAGGAGAGGCACGTGGACCCTGGACTGACACGGGAGGGAGGACGTGTGCGGAGGCTGCAGGATGCAGACAGTCTCCAAAGGAGCCATCCAGCAGCCAGGGCGCCCCCATTCAGCAGGTACCCAGAAGGTGGTTTCGAGAACGCCTTGGAGCTGCTGCACTTCTGAGAGTGTGTGAGATGCCAGCCCTTTTCCCACAGCCAAGGAAAAATGTGTCTCCACACAGCCGTCGGAATTATTTTTTCAGATGAAAATTGGACTTGAGAGGAGAAAATGATTAAGGCATAAAATATTCATTGCACATTCGTTTGTTCACACATCCCAAGAAGAAAAAGAAGTCCCTTCCCGGAATTGCACTCACTGTTTCTCCTGTGTCTCTCTCTCCCCAGTCGTGCCAAGCTGACCTGGTGAAGGACAACGGCCACAAGTACTTCCTCTCGGTCTTGGCAGATCCGTACATGCCAGTAAGGACCAGCTCTGGTGACGCGTCTCCCGGGGACTCTGGGGAAGGTTACTTCACGCAGAGGGGCCGGCAGGGTGGCGGGAGGGGGTCCGCTTTCACCCCGGCTCTGCCTCACTCAGACGGTGCCCTTTGCTTCCCGTCATATTATTTCAGTAGCTGCTTCCCTGAGTAAAGAGTTACAGTGAAACTTGACACACAGGCTGTATTTTTGTTTACAGTGAGTCCATTTTCCGAGCACATCTTTGTAGTGAAGTAGAATCCACTCTGCCTCACACCCTGTCAGCCAAGTTAGATCAATGAGTACTTGTACATCCATAATATGGCAGTTCCTTTGCCCAGTGCAGGTTCTGGACATGACAGGAGGCTGTTGCACCTTCTCAATCAGGAAGGAAAGCCGGGGAGGGGGGCGGGAAGGTGGAAAGAAGAGATTGAAAGTTTAAATTTTAAATATATTTTATTGTATTAAGTTGTTTAAAAATTAGTAATCCATAAATAGCATATAGAATAACTTCCTATAAGTGTTTTTTTAATTAATTTCTATGTTCCCTACCTCTAACTCCTAGCATAGTAAAAAGAACAAAATAGACACCCTAAATAATTACTTAATATAACTTATTTTTATCAGAATGTTTAATTAAGTCTAACAGCTTGTTCACACAGTCTTAGGTGGCTTTGGTTGTGTAAAGGAACTTTTGTGTGTAAATTCACCCTCTAGTTGGTTTTCTGAACTAAATGACAATAATAAAAAAACAAACACATTTTTCAAAATACAGAAAACGTCAAAAACAGGATTGTTATGAAAGGTAAGTAGAACTTGTGTGTTTTAACTGAAGTGTGGTTTTTAAACATTATCATAGGCAGTTAAAGTTTAGACTTTATACAAATGTTGGAAATAATCACTTCCCTGTTCTTCAGGGTAAGATACAAATCAAACAAATAAGACATCTAAGCTGATAAAATGCAGTAAAGTGGTGAGCAAAGCCAGCACAAGTGGGCCCCACTTCAACTACAAACACATTGAAGATTTGAGGACATAGATGTGAAAGAAAGGAAAGGAAATCCCCAAATGCCAAAAACCGATGTCAGAGGAGGGGCACGGTGGGACTCACAGGCAGACCTCACAGTGACCCTGGCGCTCCACGCGCGTGCAGCCCCAAGTCTGCATGGAGGACACGGGCCTGTGGGGCGAGCCGCCCACTCACCAGACAAGGACAAAAAGAGCTGGTCCTGTCTGTCCACGTCTGGACGGAAAGTCAGGAAAGGCCCCCGTGAGAAACAGAAACCCCTGTTGCGGGGGGAGCCTCCAGCTAAGAGAGGAACATGAAATCTCCAGGGCCTGCCTGGAAGCGGCAAAGGCTGAACCTTTCTGCAGGGACACCTACGAAGCCAGGGTACTGAGACTCATGACAGGAGCGCTGGCCTGCTCCTAACCCATGTTCAAGGGACATAAGCAGAGCTGGCGTGTAAGAGGGTTGGCTCCCCAAGAATTGAAACTAATAGGATTCTCTGAAAAAGACTGACAATCAATACAAATAAGTATGTTTAAAATTAGTGAATAAACAATTTGTTTTAATTACATCCAAAAATAAACTCTTATGTTTCCTCATAAGTACTTTTGTGACTATTATAAAAGAACAATGTATTCTGTCCTTTTTACTCCTCCTCAAAAAATGACCAACTAGAGTCTTTTAATAAATAGGCAGATTTGGGGGGGAAAAAAGAACCTGTAATGAAAGACAGTCACTGTCATTTAAAGCTCCGTAGATGAATTAAACAGCAGAATCGACACAACAGGTAAAGGAATCCGTAGAGAAATCACGTGAGATGAAGCAAAGCGGAGACGTGACGGAGGGGCTGAGAGGGCTTGCTGCATCCAACACAGGCCAGAGGGAGATGGTGGGGGCAGGTGAGGCGGTGGGGGGGACACACGATCCAACTGGTCTAGCGGAGAATTTTCCAGATTTGAGGAAGAAATGAGTTTTCAGGTTTATAAAGCACAATTAGTCTTGAGAAGGTTAAATAAAAACAAATCCCCACAAAGATTTATCGTAATGAAAGTAGAGAATGTCAAAGGCAAGAGGAAAAATCTTGAAAGTAACCAGGACAAAAAGGAAGATTGTTGCAAAGATCTGGACAGCAGTCACCAGAGTAACGGGTGGAAGACTGAGGAGAGGCCCTCACAGCACAGGGGGAACCGTCACCCCGGGACCCTGTGCCTGCCCCGGTGTCAGTCAGGGAGAGGGCGAAGCCAGCACATCTCAGGACCGATGGCTTCCCATGCGCTGACCCCACCCAGGCAGCCAGGAGGACCGCACTCCAGGAGGAGATGGAGCCCAGGGGACAGTAGGATGCAGGAAGCATCGGAAAGCAGACATCTGCAAACTTGTCATGTATCTAAATCAGCATGAGCTGTAAGAATAAGTAAAAACAGTCACTCACGTGAGGGGCTGACACGTGAGGAGGAGTGTTGGGAATCCAAGGGAGACACAGGAAATGACTAACTTTATTCATTCTCTAAAGAATGACTAGGTACCACTAATAGTTAACATAACACTGATCTCTGAGTCAGTAGAGGCACAGAGGAGAGGAGAAAATGAGAATCGATCCGTCCACTAGAAGACCACGAGGAAGGGATAATGAAGCCAAGTTAGGGACTGTGGTCGGTCGTTTTACGACCAGGGTGATTTGCTTCCATAGACTTGGGCAGGACAGGGCGGCCTCTGATGGAGCAGAATCAGAGAGGCCCATGCCCCTCCTGCAGCATCAGACGTCAGGGACCCATCTGTCCTCTGAGAGGCCAACACAAAACTGTCAGACCCTCTTAAAAGTGCTCTTCCTGGGCTTCCCTGGTGGCGCAGTGGTTGAGAGTCCGCCTGCCGATGCAGGGGACATGGGTTCGTGCCCCGGTCCAGGAAGATCCCACATGCCGCAAAGCGGCTGGGCCTGTGAGCCATGGCCGCGGAGCCTGCGCGTCCGGAGCCTGTGCTCCGCAACGGGAGAGGCCACAGCAGTGAGAGGCCCGTGTACCGCAAAAAAAAAAAAAAAAAAAAGTGCTCTTCCTTTTTGTGGACTCAAAAGACAATAAAGCTGGCTCCCATTACTTTAATTACACACCAAGCATAATCATAAAGATTCTGGAAGGATAACTCTAGTGCTTGGGAGTGATGAGTTTCCACCATGAAAAAAGTGCAAACTAGCAGGTGATTTCTGTTTTCCAGGCTGAGCACAGGACCATGACAGCCTTCATTCTGGCTGTGATCGTTAACAGCTATAACACGGGGCAGGTGAGTGTCACGTCATGTCCCCACCCCTGCAGGGCCTCCCTGTGGATTGCAGAGGCACAGCCCCGAGCTCCAGTATTTGGGGGCCAGCGGAACTGTTCTGAATGTCTGATGAAACAGTGACCTCAGAAGAGGGTGTGTTGCAGGATCACACCAACCCAAGGGGCTCCATGGGAGGAGTGGGGTCCGGACCCTTTGTTTAGCCAGGGTGAATTGATATTGGTGGGATTTAAAATGAGGAAAATTGAGGGACTTCCCCAGCGGTCCAGTGGTTAAAAATCTGTGCTTCCACTGCAGGAAGCACAGGTTCGATCCCTGGTCCGGGAACTAAGATCCCACATGCCGTGCAGCACAGCCAGAAAAAAAAAAAAAAATGAGGAAAATTGAGGCCATCTTGCAATGTGATTAAGCAACATTTCCCTGAGAAACGCTGGGAGCTGGGGTCCAGCCCGGCACCCCTCCCTCCTCAGTGGTCAGGGTGATGCCGTGTGTTGCCTGCCTTCTCGCAGGAAGCCTGCCTCCAGGGAAACCTGATCGCCATCTGCCTGGAGCAGCTCAACGATCCCCACCCCCTGCTGCGCCAGTGGGTGGCCATCTGCCTGGGCCGGATCTGGCAGAACTTTGACTCGGCCCGGTGGTGCGGGGTGAGGGACAGCGCTCACGAGAAGCTCTGCAGCCTTCTCTCCGACCCCATCCCTGAGGTGAGTCCACACCCATGGCCACTTCAGGCTAACTGAGGTCAAGGTATGCCTGGAGACCACACAGCCAGAGAGGCCCAGCCCCGGCCCCAGACCCCTGCGTCCCCCTCTGTGGGTTCCCTGGTGCCTGGTGTGGTCTCTGATGCCTGCACAGCCTGTCACCTGGCCCCCAGGCGGGGCCGCCACTTACCTCTTGTTTCCCTGCTCCTGCTCGTCTACGCGAGTGGAGCTGGGCCAAGAGGACCGTGGACGAGACTGGGCTGCGTCAGGTCGGCTCCAGGGGCCCCGGCTAGAGCCAAACAGCCGGCCGCTGGGTGACTGCCCCCTGTCCCACCTGCAGGTGCGCTGCGCAGCAGTCTTTGCCCTCGGCACATTTGTGGGCAACTCCGCAGAGAGGACGGACCACTCCACCACCATCGACCACAATGTGGCCATGATGCTGGCCCAGCTCATCAACGACGGCAGCCCCGTGGTCCGGAAGGTGCGTGGCCCCCGCCCCCAGGCAGCACCGAGCGCCTCCAGGCCGGGCTTCCCTGGCGCCCAGGTTGAGCCATGACCCTGACCCGACCACAGCAGCGAGCACTCAGTCCCCGCCACATCGGTGTGCATCCTGCTGAGAGCAGGCTTTAAATGTTTGTTTAATTCTCTCCAAAATAGTTTCTTCACCAGATACTTGTGTGTTTGCTTCATTTAAAGGCATTTAACAGGCTGCGTCTTCTGGCAGCTTGTATAATAGGCTCCTTCCTGCCTGGGAGCAACACTTACACACATCAGGAGATTCAAAAGAGCAGTAGCCACCCACAGACAGACGGAAAGGTTTGTTTAGTGTATTCCCCTCCCTGCCCCCATGTTTGTCAGCGAATGAATGGAGCAGTTCTTTGCAGTTGAAACTTTTACTTGTCTGTTTCGATGTAGAAGTACCACAATTTCCGTCCAAGATCTCACACCCCTGTCAAAAGTTGGCCCAGAACGGTCAACCCTCCCCCTCCCCCAGCCAAAAAGGGCCGTGGGGGGGAACCCTAATGTCTGCTGGCCGCATTTTGGGGTGGCCTTGGAGCCCTGCCCTGGGAGCAGAGACTGTTCTAGGACCAGGAGGGCAGCGTCGTTCTGTGTGTGACCTTGAGTCACCTCTCATCACCTAGAGGTGCCGGGCTGCTTCTCGGCATGTCTGAGATCCCTGTGCCAGGGAAGGGAGGTTGGGTTTGTCAGAGGCGGGTGTGGTTTCGAAGGGTATTTGTTTGGAGAGCAGACCCCACTGACTTGGTGGCAGGGACGTTGTCAGAGCAAGTTCACATTAGCCAGGAAGGACTCATTTCATCTTGAGTTCCCTCAGAGGGCCGTGAACCCAGTTGCTAACAGGCCAGGTTATCTAGAGAAATGTTAACAATGTGGAATGATCCTGGAGGTGCCTTTTCACAGCCTTTACTTTTTTATTTTGGGTTCTCATCATTAGCATCTGTCTGAATCTGGCTTCCTTGAGTCAGTCTTCTTTTTCCCGAGTCAAATTGCCTGTATGTGGATGTCAGTGACCAAAGCAGCACATCAGTAGTATCCTGAATTGTCTGTTAAGATTCCTTTTAAAGAAAGGAAAGCTGTGTTTCAGTTCTTTCCCAAAAAAACTTAAAAAGAATGTTAATAAAAATAGAAAGAATGTCCATCTGAGTCTCCAGTATCAGAATGGTCGCTAGGTCATCAGGAACACGGGGACTACCGCCCTCTCGAGCATGTCCCAGGTGCCCTGACATTCCCAGCCCCAATCCACTGGCTGTCCCTTCCGCAGACACTGGGATGCTCGGGTGTAGCCAGGTCATTCCTGTGGGCACTTGATGTTGGCCTTGCCTGGGGTCAGCACATCCACAGACAGGGGTGCTGAGAAGGGGCCTGCTTTGCTCGCCCAGCACTCGGGCTCAGCTCACATCTGCCTCTGCACACCAGGCTCAGCGCGTGGAGCAGCAGGCATCCTGCCTTTGAGAGGTACAGGGTCCAGGTGGAGAGGCAGGCACAGAACCAGGAATTGTACTGAAGCCCTTGTAAATGAGCAGCACCCCAAAGGCCAGCCCAGGTCAGGGGCTCTGGCCCCATAGGGGGAGGAGGGGAGCTCGTGCCTGGGTTGTGAGGGATGGGTAAGGGACGGGGAGAGCAAGTGAGGCAGGAGCATGTGCAGAGGTCCAGGAGCACAAAAGACCATGGTGCGCCCGGGGCTGCCCATCCTGTGTGCGCTGGAGCGTGGAGCTGGCGGGAGGGCAGTGGGGGAGAGTCTGGGAGCGGGCAGGAGCGCACCTTCTGTAACCGTGTTCTTCTCTCAACACATCTGAGCGTCTGCCACGTCCCAGGTCCTGTGTCAGGCCTCGGGACCATCACTGCCTCCAGGGCTTTTACTCTCTAATGGGGAGATGGACAGCAATGCAGGTCTGTTAAATAAGTCAAGGGGGCTATGTTTGCCATGGAAACATGGGCAACACGGAGGTTCAGGGAGACTGAGGCCCTTGGGTTGGAGAGAGGACCCAGGCTTTAATAGGGTGAGTGACACCAGCTCAGAGGCTGAGCCTTCCTTCTCTTCATGGAATCCTAATGCTGTTGGCAGCTTGCTTTTCCCGTCTTTGTCCAGAGCACGTGGTGACAGTTGTGGCACATGGTGCTCTGAGGAACACAGGCCCAGCCTGCTGGCCCAGGAGACCCAGCGTTAGGGCACCTGAGGGTATGAAACAGGACTCGGCCCTGGGCACTGCACTCCACGAGCTGACCTTAGCTAAGGCTTAAGAAGTCCCAGCTGTAACCAACTGCTGGTGTCTCCAGCTCGTGGCAAAATGAGAAGAGTCAGGGTATTGTGGCAGGGTTTCGTAAAGTCACATGTATTCAATATAAAAAAGATTGCCTTGGGCTTCCCTGGTGGTGCAGTGGTTGAGAGTCCGCCTGCCGATGCAGGGGACACAGGTTCGTGCCCCGGTCCAGGAAGATCCCACATGCCACAGAGCTGCTGGGCCCGTGAGCCATGGACGCTGAGCCTGCGCGTCCGGAACCTGTGCTCCAGAACGGGAGAGGCCACAATAGTGAGAGGCCCGCGTACCGCAAAAAAAAAAAAAAAGATTGCCTCTGTTGACTCCTGAACGATGAAAGCATCCTTTCCTGGGGGAGGCGATAATGACAGAGATGGAAGGTTTTTGCTTGCTGACCTGTTTAAGGAGTTTACTTGATAAAATCAAGAGTCAGTAAATTCACGTCAACCTCCCAAATTATTTTGAACTTGAGCTTGTCCAAGAAGTACACGATCCAGACTGTCCATCCAGTCAGCAAGCTGCCCACACCTCATCAAGAAGGGCCAGGCCAGGGAAGCAGGTTTGTGACCGCCCCCGATCCTGTTGTCACCCCACCGTTCTCAAGGGCTGACCAGTCCAGCCCCGCGACCCTTGTCTGCAGCTTACTTGGTGCCGTCTACCTTAGCAAGGAAAGCGGGACACATTTGAATCCTTTATCTCTAGTTTACATTTATTTATTTAGTAACCGCAGACACAGAGGAGCAGTACCCGGCATCCTCCTCCCTTAACACACATCTGACTCCAGCCGAAACTGATGAACGGTGTCAGAGGGTGTTTCCCCATTGATGCCCAGGACGTCTCAGGTGGAGGCGACGGGGCAGGATGAGCTGCCAGGGCTGGGGCGCCTTCTCCCGCAGGCGAGCCCAGAGGGCATCCAGGCGGAGCAGATGTGCTCCCTTCCCCAGAACGCTGCTCTGTCGTCCTGGGAGCTGAGTTTGATCCTCCATGGCCATGGGCCAAAAACAAATGTTAGCCAGTAATTCATTGTTGAAAACGTGGAGTGGGGATGGCCCTGGGGAAAGACCTGGGAACGCGTGTGGTCCAGCCTTCCAGGCGACCACAGAGGAGCATTAGCCGACTCGCCTCGGGCCATGTGTGTGCCCAGGCGTAATGTCCCTGAATCCTGACGACAACTCACCTAAAACATCAAACCATTTGTTAAAAATTATAGTGTATCTGAAGGGAAGAGGCTTCATTCATTCAGCAGATACTTATTAAGCGCTGCCAGTGTGCCAGGCCCTAGGTCACCAGGCCTCCAGAACTTGTACTTGGAGATGGGGCAGACCAGGGTGTGATGTGGCAGGTGGTGACCTGCTCCGAAGGAAGGTCGGGAGTGAAGGTAGAGAGTCGGGAGCCCGGGGCAAGGCATCGGCCTTTCCAGACCGAGGGGGCAGCAGGTGCCAAAGCCCGGAGCGGGAGGCCTGCTTGGTCCGAATGTGAGCAGGCGGCTGGAGTGTGGAGGTGGTGGGACCACTCTGCCGGGAAAGGGAGTGAGGCTGCTGGCTGGAGGGGCTCGAGTCGCCGTGCTGATCTGCTTCCAAGGTCTGAGAATAACTCGAGCCTCATGCCCGGCCTGCGCCCCAGCCAGACATGCCTGCAGACCTCCGAGGGCTGGAGCCCATGGCTGCCGCCCAGCAGGAGGGGCTTGACCCACGGCTGCTTGATGTGGGCCTTGCACTCAACCTCCTGTCCTCACAGCTGTCCCTGGATCTGAGACCTGGGAATCTGCTTCAGGTCCAGCTGAGCCCTTTCACCAGTTCAGAGTGAAGGGAAAACCTGTGCTTTTTGAAGATGGCTCAGGCTTCATCTTCGCTGGGAGGGGCCGGCGGGCAGTCCCTTGACAGCCTGTTACTCAGCGCCTGTTAGACTAGAGGACCCACTGGGTGGGCATCCGGATCGCCAGAGAGAGAGATGGGTCAGGATGATTCAAGGGTCTAACTGAAGCCACCAGAGATTTCTGCTCCTGGCACAAGCCGAGGGTCCCCAGCAAGGGCTGAACAGAAAGGGGTGGGCAGCAGGTCCTGGGCAGGTCGAGCTGGGGTTTGGAGAGCACTTGGTGGACACACATGGTCAGTGGTTGGAAGGGCCAGCCTGGAACTCAGAGATGGGACCTGAAAAGGTAGGTTTGGGAGTAAAACCCACACATGTGCTGGGGAGGCCAAGGAGTACGTAAGGCTGAGGTGGGAGAGACCCTCTCAGGAGAGAAGGGGGCGGCCGAAGAGAGGACCCGGGGGCCCCATCCGAGCCCAGCTTATCAGCACCTCGGCACAGCTCTCCTGGCCCTGGGGGTCTGGGGGATTCACGGAACAAGAAGGGGCTCTCAGACCTTGGTCTTCTGCTAAGTATTTTTCTAAAAAGTAAAATAAAGTTGTGGAAACCATTTGAATAGTGATGGGAAAAGTAGTGCAAACCGACATCCAGTTTTATTTCCCGTGACTTTTAGGATCTCCAGGTACTCAGGTCATAGCACCAACTGCCCCAAAAGAGGTAAATTGTATTCTTCTCCTTGGACTGAGGCAACTGGCCTGAAGTCATGTAGAACTTTCCTGTTACCCTTTTGGGGGCTGGAAAGTAATCTATCTTTGAAAATTTCACATTTAGTAGAAGAGCGTGCTACACTGTCCGGGGTATCCTGCCTTAATGCCCAGGGTTCAGGTAGCTCTCCACGGTGTTGACCATGGGAAGCCGTGAGGGCTCTTCCCCATCCCGCTCTGGGGTGTCCTCAGCCTGCATCCCTACAAGGCCCCCCTCTCACACCTAGTGGTCAGCAGTCTCTCTGCCGGGTGTCCGGGGCATCCCTCGGAGGCCCTGATCTTGACCACATGGCTTGTTCAGAGGTTTCTGCTCACGCCGGGGGCTCAAGAGTGCTGCGTTGAGGGCGCAGCCCCTGTCTTGGCGCCGAGTGCTGTCTGTCCCACCGCCCCCCACAGTGGCTCAAGCACTCAGCGCCAACATGTACATCTCACTGCTACTCTGAGTTGTCTCCCAGCCCCAAGTCAGTGTCGCTGTCCTTTCTCCTCCCGGCAGGAACTGGTGGTGGCTCTGAGTCACCTTGTCGTTCAATACGAAAGCAATTTCTGCACCGTGGCCCTGCAGTTCATGGAAGAGGAGAAGAACTACCCACTGCCCTCTCCAGCCACCACAGGTACAACCACCAGGGGTACGGCACTGAGTGGAGCCCATGCGGCTCGCTGGCCCAGGGGACCATGGTCAGGACTGTCAGCAGACCCCTCGTTCTGCTAGGTCCTGAGACCATGTGTCAAGTCAGGGCCACTCAGATATCTGCAATTCCCATCTTCCCAGAATAGAAAGGGCAGGAAAGGGGGCCACACTGACCCTCTGACTGTTTTCTTTCCTTTTTACCCTTTTTGGAAATCAAAGCATGGAAATCTTGGAGGGTACAAAGTGCTGCCATAGGGACTATAGGAAGGCACATTCTCTTTCTTCCCCTGATGAGTCCTCACGTCAGTGTCACGTCAGGCAGCTGCTCGTCTCACATTTGTCCTTTTTACCGAATTTATGTTTCATCATCTTGAGCTGCCCCCTCCCTCAGACAGCTGTGTCTTCAGGAAAGAGGGCTTGTGATCAGCCATGAGACCATTGCTGCGTTTAGTACATCGGGGAAGGGAAACGGCTGGCGGGCCTGGGCAGGGTGGGATTGGTGAGTGGGAAGGCGGGGGGCTGAGCCAGGAGGTGGCCATCCTGGTGCTACCCTGGGCAGCGGCCGCAGGCAAGTCCCAGAGCACCTGGTATGGTTCTTGGAGAACCATGTGGGCCTCTGTAGTTGAACTCTCACAAAACGCCAAGCGTGGGTCATGGTCATCTGCTCCCATGCTCCCCTCACCCCAGTCAGGACCTCGTCCAGCTTTGTACCCCAACATACATGTGTCAGAGACCCTGCTGAGCAGAAGGGCCCTGTTGTAGCATCACATCATCCAGGTAAAAGCCACTGTCACCTGCCGTCTGGCCGCCTCCCACCTGAGCCCACCATTAACTCTTCTCTCTCCTTCTCTCCTACCAGAGGGTGGGAGTCTGACCCCCGTGCGGGACAGCCCCTGCACCCCCAGACTGCGCTCCGTGAGCTCCTACGGAAACATCCGCGCCGTCACCACGGCTAGAAGCTTGAACAAATCTTTGCAAAATCTGAGTCTGACAGAAGAATGTAAGACCCCAGAGGCTGGGTGCTCGAGTCGGGTGGTTGTGGGTCATCTTCTGGGACCTTTTATTAGATGTGCCCCTGCCCCCTCCTGCCATCTGCTCGCCTGGGCGTGAGCAGAAGTCGTGGGTCAACCCCCCGGGGTGGCCAGTGATGATCCTGCAGCACCGCTGGGCACAGCCGCTCCTGAGCCCCGCAGCACCCCCCTACCCCGTGCCCAGCAGCCCAGCCCCAGGGGAGGCGGGGGTGGGTGTGCTAACTGACGCTCTGCCCATGGCGATGCCCCACCAGCCGGCGGCTCGGTGGCCTTCTCCCCTGGGAACCTGAGCACCAGCAGCAGCGCCAGCAGCACCCTGGGCAGCCCCGAGAACGAGGAGTACATCCTGTCCTTTGAGACCATCGACAAGATGCGCCGAGTCAGCTCCTACTCCTCCCTCAACTCCCTCATCGGTGAGTCCCACCCCTCCACGTCTCCACCTGTTCCCTCAGCACCCATGGGTTCCCGCCCAAGTGGACGGTGCTGGGACACGCTCAGTGGGAGAGTAAAGTGAACGGGGTAGGAGGAGGTGAGGAGCGTCTTGCTGTGGCAGCAGGAACCCCCCGCCCTTGGTTGCTGGTCTGATCCAGGCCATCTGGGCGAGCCGGCCTTGTCGCTTGGAAAGGCTGCAGAACTCCCAGTGCTGCAGAGCAGGGGAGTTCTGCCCCCAGGAGACATTTGGTGTGTCACGGCCAGGGCACAAGGGGGCTCCCAGCATCCAGTAGGCAGAGTGGCCTCCAGTGGTGCCCAGGGTCCCCCAGAGAATGCGTGTACGAGGTCCAAGGTCAGAGCCCTGCTCCAGGGGCGCAGACAGCCCTTCCCTTCTCAAGTTCCCTGGCTGGAACCCCCCATCACCCCCATCCAGGGCCCCCTGTGTGCTTTCGCCTTCAGCCAGTCCAGCAGTTTCACACTTGGCTGCCTGGAAATTGAAATTTGAGTGAAGGGTCAGCGTCGTCTCGTGTTCTGCCTTGAGTGGTGAGCCCCTGGTTCTGCTGCTGGGCTCGCTGAGCGGTGGGAATTCACCGCATGTCCTCGCTGCATGACCAACCATATCGACCCTGTGTCACCGGTAACACACATAGGACTCAACCAGACAGCCCCTCTGCGCTTGTTCTTGGCACCCTGGTGCTTTACCAGGCCTCATCTGAGGCTTTACATAATACTAGGAAATGCTGTAGATGCATAAAAACGTAGACTAATGTGACACACCTCCCCGTGTGTGTTTTGTTCCCAACTTAAGGAGTTACATATAGAGTTAAAGCGCCCAGAGCCCCTCCTGGTTCCCTGCTCAGGATCCCTGCACACTTACTCTCTGGCTGTGGATCCCCATGGACTCGCGCCCTTTCCCAGGGTTTAAATGTCATGTGAATGGCGCCACACATCCTGTGTCCTCACTCTGCCCAGAGGGCTGTGTGTCCACACTGGTCACCTGAGTCTTGTTCACACCCTTTCATGATCTGCTGCAATTCACTTGTCCATTCTCCTGTTACCGGACAGTAGCCTTGCTCTGATTTTTCCTTCTTTTCTCATTTTCTTTTTTCTTTTTTTTTTTTTTTTTTTTGCGGTACGCGGGCCTCTCACTGTTGTGGCCTCTCCCATCACGGAGCGCAGGCTCAGCGGCCATGGCTCACGGGCCCAGCCGCTCCGTGGCATGTGGGATCTTCCCGGACCGTGGCACGAACCTGCGTCCCCTGCATCGGCAGGCAGACTCTCAACCACTGCGCCACCAGGGAAGCCCTTTTCTCATTTTTTAAAAAGCGAATTCAGGATTTGGCCCCAGCTCCACCTCCTGCCCTCCCCCTTGTACCTGGCAGTGCTGGGCTCCTGGGTTCCTTGGCTCCTCCCCTTGGCTTCAGGGTTCCGCCTCCAGACACCTCACAGGCTGCTCCTCAGTCCAATCACAGTCCTGCTCCAGAGTCACCTTAAAAGAAGTCTTCCAGGCTCCTCCCACCCCAATCCAGAATAGCCTTCTGCAGTCGCTCTGAGTCTCTCCCTCTCTGTTTGCTTTTGTCCTGAGAACTTTTCCCCAGCAGACTTATGATGCAGGATCTCATTTATTCAGCTCGGTTCTATCTCTGCTCAGGGGGTCAGAGCCACGAGTGCAGGAACTTTGTCCTGTCTCCTGCCACAGACCCCCACACCCCGTGCCTGGTACACAGCAGGCACCCCCATAATGTGCACGGGTGTGGGCCGCAGCAGACACACTGCAGCCTGACACACGTGGGGTCTGACAGCTCCACGTGGAGGGAGATTGACCACAAAGGGCTCTGTTCCAAGGAGGACAAGCTCCCGTGGCCCTGCTCACTCCTGTTCTGGTCAGGCTACCCCGTCTGATGTGAGCGAACCAACTCCTCGTGGTCTTAATTTGTATGTCCCTCGATTATGATGAGGTTGAGCTCACGTGTTCATTGGACTCCTGTGTTCCCACTCCTGCAATCATTTACAGTATTAGTTACCCTCCTATTTCGTTGGTACTATTTTTCATTAACATTCAGTTCTTGGTTGTTTGCTTGTTTCCATGATAATCCCTCTACCTTAGAGCTCACACTCTCTTGGCATCACGTGACAGTGTTAGATATTTCTGACTTGCCGTTTTTGTGATCTGAAGGGGGAGGGCAGTCTAAACGTGCTTGCCAGCGGTACCCATGAGCCTCAAGACTGGCCCTCTGTTGGCCCTAGAAAGGACTCAGGACTCTCATTCCACAAGACGAGTCTGTCTGGGGCCCATAAAGGTCTGAATGGACTGTAGAGTCCAGAGCTGGTCACCATGCCCCACCCCCAGCAATATGACCCAGAAAGGGGGATCTTTTTGTCCTTGGCCCTGGATTGGGGATGTAAGGGGTGAAGAATCGGTGTTTCTTTGACGCCACATGAGATTGCAGGGTACAGCCCGCACCTCCCACCCCTGCCGCCTTCCATGTCCTCCAGGGACTTGAGAGCCACAACACTGATTCCTTCCTTCACACAAAACCTGACTCCTGAACATTTTTTTTACTGGAGAAAACTGAATTTTATCTGTATGTGGTTCATATCTTTGAAAACTTCAGTGGGAAAGTTTCACAATGAGCCGGAGCTGGAAGGAGCGTTAAGGAGACAAAGTAGCTGTGCACCTGAGTGCGCGTGTCCACCTGGAAACCGCGGTGCTTACATAAGTGTTTAAAATTCATAACCTACACCGAATCCCATTACTTGCAGCATTTGCCTGTTTAAAGTCAATTTTTTCTTTCATTTCAACTAAAGAACAGCAATCTCTAGCCTCTTTGAATATTGCAAAAGAGGTTTTCAAAACCATGGCAACCTAGGACATCCATTCATTGCCATCTTCTCCCAGAAAACTAGCCCCTCCAAGGCTCCCCCTCCATCCCCACTGTCTCTAAAGCACTCGAGGGCTCACCTGCTGAGCGAGGTGCTGTCCCCTCACAGGGGCAAAACATGATCACGCATTTCTCCATGTGCCTAAGCATATCTGCCCAATGTCTGTGAATCTGCACTGGGACCCAGCTCTGTCACCACCTTTTGGAATCTTCTTTGATGTCTCCCTCCGCATGTTTCTCACCCACTCAGCCATTTGGCCTGACCTCCATGTGTGTCCCCAGTCAGTTCTTTCCATTTCCGGGCCCCCCACCCCAGGACTTGGCTTTGGCTCTCACACCCCACCACCTGTCCAGAGCAGATCCCCCCAACATCAGCTCTGCACGGACCACTGTCTGGCTGATGCCTTTGCAGAAACTCGTTTCCTGTAAAGTCCAAGCTGTGGCTGACACTCAAGACCTTCCTTCTGAGAGCAGCCTGGCCTTCACCATAGCTCCGCCCACTGTGCCCCCCACCCCAGGCTGGCCACTGGCCCCTGAATGAGGCCTGGACACCTCTGCCTTTATCCCACATTCCCGCACCCGCCTCTCCACACAGCAGTGCTCGCCCATTCCTCTCCACGCTGGCATTCTGCGGCGTCTCAGGAGGCCCTCCCTGACCCATCAGACGCCTTCGTGTTGCACACTAAACCTGCGGCATCACATCGGGCCGTGAAGTTGCCATCTTGATCAACAGGTTTGGTAAAGCTGCTATTTCTTGCTCTTGTGTGTAGCAGGCAGCCTCTCCTCCCTCCATCACCTGCCCTTCTGTCCCTCACCTGTCCACCCGTCACCATCCTGCCCCTCATTCCCTCCCTCCCTCCCTCTCTGAGCCTCACCCCATTCCTGATGTCCAGAGGTGGGAGTGCAAAGAGTGGGGAAGGGGGGGCCCTGGTGCTTTTGTCTTACCTTGTCCCCCAGGTGAGACACAGGGGAGCCCCTTGAAAGGGTTGTGCAAACACACCTCCCAGTCCAGCCAGAGCTCTGTCCAGTAGGCGAGGGAGGACGTGATTAGGACCCTCCCAGAGGGGCTCAGAGTCAGGGTCACCAAGAGGGGAAATGCAGAAGCCCCAGGCCCTGGGAGCTGATTCCCAGGGAGGCGCCTGGGCCCGCATCATGCGATAGAGCGTCAGGGTTGGTGACCCCTGAGACCCAGGCAACAGGTCACAAGTGACAGCTCCTGCCTCCAGGGGGCTCCACCTTCCTTCTCCAAGCTGCCTTGCCAGCCCCCGGGGACTCTGGGGCCCAGAGTTGACCACAAAGCTCTGAGCAAATTTTCCTGAGTCCAGTGCTATTTAGAAAGTTGTGGCCATTGCTCTGAAAAATAAATTCTAAAACCATTAGTTATGATCTTTTATTACTTTTAGTCTAGACATGAAAATAGGCTCTCAGCGCTTATGGGGACTTTGGCAAGTGCCAGACACGGCACCCTGTCTGAGCTGGCTCAGCCCAGCGGTACCCCCCATCCCCACGGGGGCTACACCCGCGTTCTCGTCGTTCCAGAGGCCCGAGCTCTGTGCTGCACAGATTCAGAACGTTCCGATTTGGAGACAGCAGATGTAAAACCAGGACAGTTCACAGAACAGAGAGGCTGGGGGGTGGTGGCCAGCCCCAGGAGAGCAGTGACGTGGAGACAGCAATTCCAGGTCCCTGTTCTGTGTTTTCACAAGTAAATCGTATACCATTCACTGTGGTCAAGGACACTACAAAAATTAGATTTTTAAAAATTCCCTGTTGAATCACAAGCAGAGTGATATCAAAGTCGAAATCTTCTGCAAGAGAGTCAACAATAGTAATAAAAACTTGAGATTTTGTAAAGTGAACAGTACCCCTTCCTCATTGCACAGTGCCACGCTGCACCCCTTCCTCACGTTTATACCAAAGGTGCCTTGATTAAGGCCCTTGTGTGCTCAAAAGTCTGCCCTGGACCATCACCCTAGTAAGGAGGCCCCTTGGCCCCCACTGTTCCCCCCACTTCCCCACGGACCTGTTACCACGGGTCCGTCATCTGTAGTCAAGCAGATTTACTGTGCCCTTCACAGCCCTCTTGTCACACAGGTCGGCTGCTGCCCTGATCACTCTGAGCTCAGAAACAACGGAGGGGAGAGAATTTTGCCCAGTGGCTGTGGTGACTGTGTGGGGTCTTTGTAGGAACGTCCCATCCGTGGGGCCAGTTCTCCCGTCTGAGTGAGCCACGTCCATGAACGTGCTTCGCCTCGTTCCCCCGTGCGTCATGAATCGGGACCGTCTGCAGAGTGAGTGTGGAGCGGCTTCTCCCACCCTCCTCCTCTGGGGAGACAAGAAATAGCAGTGGCCTGGTGGCCCTTCACCGCAGCAGGTTCCTATGGCAGCCGATCTGCTAGGACAGGAAAGCAGCTTCTAGGAAATTTCCCCGAAGAGATTCCGACTGCCTTGACAAACAGCCCTGAGAATTTGTAAATCTGGGCAGCTGTCATGAGCCATGGCATTTGAGAGTCAAGAGGTTTTTGTTGTGTTTCTACACTGAGTAGGGCAGAGGACAGCAGGGAGGACAGGTGTGTGTTTCCATGTGGACTGTTCCCTAGCTCATGGTCCCCTCTGTGCAAGAGTGCGTCTGCCTGACGTTACTCACCAAACGAAGGTCCAAATTTATACTAGACCCAAGTCCCTGGATGTGCCCTCCTGATTCCTGTGGGCCACGAGCTTTCGAGAGTGACTTTCCTCGCACACAGTAGGTGCTCAAACTGGTGCTGATGCACGCATGCCAAATGAGTACCTGATGGGGCGTTGCTCTGACCATAGAACACTCTTCGCCCTTGGTGGCGGGAGGTGCGTTCCAGGCCCCGCCTCTCGGAGGTTGCCCTGCGCAGGCAGCTGTGCTCCTGCAGAATTATTTAGAGGCCGCAGCAGCTGTCAGCTCCTCTTCCCAGAACTAGGGTGGAAGGATAAGGCGACGGGAGTTTTGTGAACGCTCACTGGGAGGTATTTTATGTGTGGTGGTCCCCTGGGGAGTGCGGCCACGCCACATGCGATTGAGGGGTTGGCCTCCTCCAGCTCCATCACCCTGTGAACAGGCAGGCGTGCAGCGGGCAGGCCCTGCAAACGTAGGCACCACAGTCCCTGTGGAAAGGGGGCTGGAACCCTGTCGCCTCCCGTTACAAATGAGAGGGTGTCGGGTGCGGTGAGCTAGGACTTGTCCGTAAGCATCGACGTAGGACACACAAGAGAAGCTGACCTTTACTCTAAACCTTCGTCAAATCCCTCTTCTGTGATTTGAATGTTGTATAAAACCCTTTGAACAATGGTGTCCATCAGGAAACACTGTCCTCCAGTGGCCCTTCTTGTGCTTAAATTCTTCATAATTAGAGGGACTTTGTTAACTAGGGGCTGGCTGGTCAGATGGCATGAGATCACAGCTTGTTCGAAATCCTCTGTTACTCCCTGTCTGTCGTTGAACAAGCACTTGCTTTTCAACAAACCAATTGTCCAGCTTCCCCCAAATAAAAAGGATGCAGTGGTATATGGCGGCCTCCTCATTTGGCCACGTGCATTCAAACTCTTCATCCTTTGGATGCTAGGCCTTGCTGTCCTCCTCTGTAAAGCCTGGGGTGATGCCTGCAGCTAGGACGGTGAGGTTAAATAGGACTGAGCCGCCTTCCCTGGGGGTGGCCTCCCATCCCTCATAAATGTTCCTTCCCTGGGCTTCCCTGGTGGCACAGTGGCTGAGAGTCCGCCTGCCGATGCAGGGGACACGGGTTCATGACCCAGTCCAGGAGGATCCCACATGCCGCGGAGCAGCTGGGCCCGTGAGCCATGGCCACTGAGCCTGCGTGTCCGGAGCCTGTGCTCCGCAACAGGAGAGGCCACAACAGTGAGAGGCCCGCATACCGCAAAAAAAAAAAAAAAAAAAAAATGTTCCTTACCTTTCCTTCGGATCCACGATTTACCCCATCTGTGTTTATGTCCCGTCTCATCTGCCTTGGCACCCAGGCACTCGGCAGGCCCTAATGTGGAGAGCACACTCGGGAGGTGCTGGATGCCTGGGGAGGTCCTGGGGAGCGTGGGCAGAAGACTCAGTGAGTCACCGAGACCAGAGCAGGCCATGAATGCAGAGGGAGGTGTGGACGGGGACTCAGCCAACATTCTCCACTCGGGTGGGCCATGACAGCTCCTAGAAATCTAGGCGTTAAATCCAGTGCTGGATAGTACTCTCCAGGCAGCCAAGGCCTGAAAGGAAGTCCTGCCCTTTTCTAACTTTTCCTTCTAGAAAGATCCAGCCACAGGAGGTGAAATTGTGTGATCAAGCCTGTTCACCACCTGGGATTTCTGAATCTCTGGGCCCCTTATCAGATAACAAAACCGGAGCTTCCTGTAACCCTAGCTCTTCTAAGTGTCCACCCCTGATGCATGGTTAGGTCTTCAGAAGAGGGAGCTACCCCAGAAGCTGCCCCAGCATGCAGCGGCAGCTCCTTGTTGTTAAAACAGCTCCCATTTCTCTTTCCTAGGAGTTTCATTCAATAGTGTTTACACTCAAATTTGGAGAGTCTTGCTACATCTGGCTGCGGATCCCTATCCAGATGTTTCCGATTTGGCTATGAAAGTACTCAACAGCATTGCCTACAAGGTACGTGTGAAGGGCGTTCTTTGTGAAGCTCTCAGGACCCTGGTTTTCAATCATGAATGTTCAAGCAGAGAACTCCAGTCATGTTCAGGTCTACGCATGGTTTAGGTTTAGAAACTTTGAACGAGCGTTTTGAATCCAGAGATTCACAATATAGGCTAAATTCCATGTGCATGTAGCTTCAGGTGGGGCATGTGTCACTGCTTCTGCACACCCACATCAGGGCAGCAGAAAATTAGGTAAGGACATCTGTGTGACCCGTAGTGATGTCCTTTCTTTCATTCCTGGCACCAGTAACATACAACTTCTCTTATTCATGACTATTTCTGGCTAAAGGTACCTCTTCAAAGAACCAGCTTTTGGTTTCATTAGTACAATTGACCTCTGAACAACACAGGGGTTAGGGACACCAACCCTGACCCCCCGCAGTCAAAAATCAGCCTTTCCCATTCATGTCTCCACAACCCTGAATTCTGTAGTACTGCAGTGTGTGTTTATTGAAAAACATGTGTATAAGTGGACCCGTGCAGTTCAAACTCACGTTGTCTAAGAGTCAGCTGTGTTTCTCTGTTGTTTTTCATTCTGTGTTTTATTGATACCTGCTTTTATATATATTGCTTCATTTCTTCTGCTTACTCTCAGTTTAATTTGCTCTTCTGATTCTAGTTTCTTAAGATGGAAGCTTAGGTCATTGATTTTAGTCCTTTCTTCTTTAGGGACTGTAAACTCTCCCAGTTCTTTTTGTGAGCTCTGGGAATTATTTGGCCTTTCAGTGGTTCTTTCCCCACCCTCATGGGTTTTCACGCCTCCCCCAAGCAGATTTGAGGGGCCTCCCCTGCAGACCCTGGAAGCCCTCTCCTCTCTGCCCTGCAGATTCTAGCCACCTAGGCTTCCATGTCACTCCGATTGGTCCCCTCTGCTAGCTGCACTGCTGGGCTCTGTCTGGATACCCTTCCCCCACCACAGCCGGGTCTGCAGGAAACTGACTGCAGGCCAGGAGCTGGGCAGTGATTCCCCTTCTCTCAGCAGTACCCAGTGCCCAATGTCCGAAAACAGCTGTTTCTTTTTTTTTTTCTGTTTTCCAGCTGTTTATGGAAGTTGGACAGTTTACATGCAGTTAATCTTTCATGAATGGAACAATAATGAATGCCACAAAGAAGTCATTCGTTATAGCATTTTTAAAGATTTTCATAACTTTTTGATTAAATTTTAGGCTTGCAGACAAGTTACAGGAAAAGTACAGGGAAATATTGTCACGTGTCACAGTTTACCTGGCGTGTCTCTATCCTCATCTGACCCTAATCACTAACGAGGGGTCGTCCTCAGGCTGCCACTTGCCTGAAGGTACGTGGCTTACTCATAGCTTCCCTCCTGGTCTGTTATTTTTTTCCAAACTGGTTATCAAGCCCTCCTATTTGCTGCCGCCTCACTGGGGTTGGCCTCCCACGTAGCCCAACCTCCTGCAGCACCTGGCCTCCTGTTGGCACCATATTTGTGTGGTGTTCAATTCCCCCACCGACGTTATTCTTCACTGGTGACGTTCTGTCTTTTCCTGGATGATTGAATCATCTCATTGTCTGTGGCTGCTACTTCAGCTTCTGGTAGCATCACAAGTAGTAATAACACAGCCTCATCGTGTACCCAGTCTTAAACTGTTGTAGCAGTCAGCTTCCTCTTCCTCCTTAAAGAAGCAATGAGGATAATTCAGGAGCACATTCTGGGTTTAACCCCAGCCTCTGGTCACACGTGTGACTCTCTCTGGAAGCAGAGACTCCTAGGTACACAGTGTTCGCTGCACTTCCTGCCTGTGAGCACTGCCAGCCTCATGGCTGAAGTGCTAGGCATTACTGTTGGCCGACCCGGGACTATCGGGTAGTTTATTCCACTCTGACCTCCCCTTGCGCCCAGTGAGCCCCTCGCCCACTTTCTTCATCATCCTACTGCATGACTCGCCACAAAGGCACCTGAGTGCTGTTCCATCCTCAGGGAGTGTGGAGTCTTCTCAGTGTCTATAGAAAAGAGGCCAGTGAATTAAGTTAACTTTTTCATTCGTAATACAAAACTAAGAAATAGTCTAATCATCTGCTTTTTCAACTAAGAATAAGATTGATTCAAAAATTAAACTTTTCTAAAATATATGTTTGTTACAACATATTAGGGCCTGTGACCAAGGGAGGGAGGAAGTACAGTCTTGGGGAAAGAAACAGAGGAAAAGGAAGGAGGTCCTGGAGAAAGGCACAGCGGACTCGAGTGGGTGTCGTCCTCCTCGTCTGTGAAAATGGAGCCTCCCTGCTCTGCCCGGTCCTGGCCTCACTGATGCGAGTTCCCCTCCCGCGAGGCCGAGGATTGAGGGCACCCAGGCACCCAGGAGAGCGGCTCTCCCAAGTGCCAGCTAATTCATCACAGTCACCACCGTTGCTTTAAGTGAATTCTACCTGGGACTTAGAGTCCAAAAGGAAAGTTTATATTATTTATCTAGGAAGTGTGGTTTACAGAAAAATTACTCTTTAGATAAATAGAGTCATGTGCTTTCATAGGTGTCCATTCTCAGTGCTCCAGCAACCAGAGGCTCTGCCTCATGCTTAGCCCAGAATTAACTGTAGACGATCCTTTGGGGAATTACCTCCTCCCACATGAATCCAGATCTTTGGTATACAGTTAACAGGGACTTTTCTGAAATACTCCATCCCCCAAGAGAGAGCAGCCAAAAGCCTCCGTTGGTATCCTAAACCCTGACTGTGTCGAGATCCAGTTGGGAAACTCGCTGTCCTCATCACCTCTGTAGGGTGTTTTCTCTGCACTGGATCACGCTTTCCTGCATCCCTGTGAGGTGACGTGTTCTAGTGGAAGATCTGCAGAGTAAGAAAGCGCTGGGAGCGGGAGACAGAGGGGGTGTCTTATTGCGGCCCCAGGCTCCCATTACAGCGACCACCCCCATTAACTGCATGGGGGCGGGGAGCACAGGTGGGGCTGTGTGAGTGTCCCTGCAAATCGTTTCTATGTTTGCACTGGGCTAAGAGGGTACATCTGACCTAGAATCCTACTAACAAGGTGTTTGCCACTCTCTAAAAAGTTGGCTTGTAGCCCTAATTATGACCTCCCACTGCTGCCCTTCCTCTTCTGGACTCAACACTTGTTGGGAAGGGAACTCACCTCAGGCCATCATCAAAGCGCGTCTGCTGGTCCAGTGACTCCAGTGCAGCGTCATGGAGGGAGAATGACAGGGTGTTGACACCGTGAGAACAATGGGCAAGTGTGCTTGCAGTGGATGGGGCTCGCGGTGAGGTCCTGGGGTCTCTCAGACCCACGCTCCATCCTCCTCCATATACAGCCCAAGCCTGACATCCAGCAAGCACACCGGTGTTTCTCCGTTACCCTTTCCTGGCGGTGTGCTCTCTGTGTGAAACGGCGACTGGAACCAGCACAGAAAGGGGCCTTCCTGGAGGGCATCTCCCACAACCTGCTCACCACCTGCTCCCAGAGCAGCCTCCATCCACACCAATCCCACGGACAGGCGGGTCTGCGTGGCCACCCCCCACTCATGCTCACCACTGCAGCACTGCTGCAGTGAATGTTTGTTGCACAAATAGGAAACGTTAGGCAAAGAAGCTTCATCTAAGCCTGAAACCCTAGGATCGATCACCAGTCATGGGGCCTCCCCAACCAGTGACATGCCCACCTCTCAGGATTTCCAGAACGGATGCAAAACTAGAGCTGTGTGCAGCAGCCGTCAGCGTGAACTGCATTAAAAAATCACGGCTGTCTTCTTTGCCCTCGAGGCTGAGACAGAACAAGCCAGGGCTGTGCCACCTCCACCCCCAGGGAAGAGCAAGGAAGCAGAGTTAGTCACCCCAGGCCCACGCGCTTCTTCCCTTTCGGAGCCTCCTTGGAGGGGAGCAGTCGGGGTGGGGGTCTCAGGGGAGATCAGCACCGTGGGCTCCAGCTCAGGCAGTGGCAGAGCCTCTGTGCTCAGGGAAACTTTGAAAGGTCGTGGATTCAACCGAAGTCTGCATTTCAACCCCAAAGTTTTCTGTCTCTCCTCTGTCTCTCTCTCCCACTGATTTTCTAGAAATTTTGAGGAGACACATATTCGGTTTATAGTTTCTTAGCTTAAATTTCTTTTCTCCTTTTAGACCTCTTAAGGGATCATTTGGCTCTCAGGCTTTGTTGGGGTTGCGTGTGTGTGGAGGCCAAATAACTTAAATAGCAAAGCAAAACAAACACAAACAATACAACTTTTATAATTCAAAAAATAAAAAAGTTTTTATAGGCTGGTTATGATTCAGTTCTTGCTGTTTGCATTTCAAAGTGAAGGATTATCTGGGACACATTGGTATTATGTTGGTGGTTTTGTATTCTGTAATTTTCTACCTGTCAGCTGAATAGAGGTATGGCCTTCCTAACTGCTGAGAGAATAAGCCAGAATTTGAGGGTCTTCTGTAAGTAGCCAGTCCAGGGTTCCCCTGGAGCGTCACCCCATGAAGGTCGAGGCTCCGCCCATCTCGCTGAGTGACACCCAATCTTCGAGAACTGAGCCTGGCACCAGCCACACTTGGGCAAGTGGTGGCCAACAGCCGCCATTCCTGTTCTCTTCCTGCCAGAGTGGCACCCCCTCCACAGCATCAGCCCCTTTCTGGTCCTTTCACCCTGGATGTCCAGATCCAGCAGGCCCATCCAGCTGTCCAGCACTCAGAACAGAGGTCCAAGAAAGAACTTGGCGTCAGTGGGTCCACCAGTAGCTACGCAGTGACACCCCTGTTTGCTTATTGTCTCCTCCACCATTTAAAAAAATCACAACAAAGCTGCTTCCCTCCTGACTGCCAGCCCAGGCTGGCACAGACCCTCTGCTGGGTAAAATACCAAACCTGCACGTGATCATGGGAGGAAGTGCACAGACCTGGGTCTTGTCTCCATTCACAAAATGCTGCACCCAAGGTGCTGTTTTGAGCCTGTGCCGAAACATGACAACGAACAACCGAGGCTGAGCCTAGGCAGGCTCCTTTCCAAGTGCCAGCTCTGCCCAGGAAGCTGCTCCCTCCAGGGGAGCTCCTGCCATGAGAGGGAGCCTGGAGAGCCTTCTCCCCAACTTCCAGACCCCCCCACTCCTCATTAGTCCCAGTGCAGTTTTGTGACAGCGTTTCGGGGCGGGGGGCGTCCTTGGAGCCTCACTGAACCAGGTGAATACTTTCCAGAAAAGCAACAGAATATCATTTTATCTAGCGGGTGACATTTGTGGGGAAAATTTTAACTGGGACCTTCCATTCCTATGAGATTTCCTCAGCCAAAAGCCTTTTTCTGTGATTTTGAAGGCACTCAAAAGCAGCCACCAACCTGTGCTTGTCTTGTAGCCTCAGGTTGTCACAGTGACCACCCACCTCACTTGTCCCTTTGTTCCTTCAGGCCACAGTGAACGCCCGGCCTCAGCGCATCCTCACCACGTCTTCCCTCACTCAGTCGGCACCCGCCAGCCCCACCAACAAGGGCATCCACATCCACCAGGCGGGGTGAGTGTGGGTAGCTGCCTTCCGGGGTCTGGGGAGGTTCCCAGCACGGCCTCCCCCCGCCTCCCCCTCCCTCTCCAGCCTGCAGGCTCTCTCTCACACCCCGACATCTTCTCATCTGAGCCCCTCCTAGAATCCTTTCCTACCTTTATCTGCACAATTGTGACAGCAAAAGTTGACCTGAACCTGACTCCATTCAGAATTTTATCAGAGAGGGTCCGTGTCTTCCAGTGAGTGACCAGCAGGGTGGAACCCTCCACTTAATCAGTGTTCACAGAGCTGTGCACTGGATCTCAGGGGAGTAGACGTGCCCTGCACCCTCCTGGAGCCTACTCAAAGTCCTGACTGAGTTTGCCTCCGGCTGCATTGGTTTTCAGGGGAAGATGGTTCTTAGAACCTGCAGGCAGAAGCTAGAAGGGGTCATTAATTCAGCATCAGCAGCTCAGGTTTGGAAGTCACGTTGACAAGCCATGCAATTGAGGGTGGTCCGAGCTGGTGACCCTGGGCCCATTCGCAGGATCTGGGAGTGGGCAGTACCAGGGGAAGTTGCTTAGGGTTTGGTTTCAAAGGAGTGTGTTCTGGGTAAAACACAGTGTTTCTTTTTTCCCGACGGCAGAGGCTCCCCGCCAACATCCAGTGCAAGCAGCTCCAGCCTGACCAACGACGTGGCCAAGCAGCCGGTCAGCCGAGACCTGCCTGCAGGCCGGCCAGGCACCACAGGCCCCGTGGCGGTGCAGTACACACCCCACTCCCACCAGTTCCCCCGGACACGGAAGATGTTCGACAAGGGCCCAGACCAGGTACGGATGTGGTTTTACACACTAACTCTAATGGGCTTGGGTGCTGGGACGTTCGCTCCTGAGAGGAGAGGCACCACCTCGGGCGACGGGGTGCATGTGGCCTCGGCCCGGGTGCAGAAAGCCGTGAGCCACCGACGGCTCTGGGCTCCTGCCCCCACGTCTGGGCAGATACTGCAGGGTGTCCCTCTTCCTCCTGCAGCCCCTTGTTCTGGGTTCACTCTTGGCAGCTTCCATGTAACAAGCAGCACATGGGCTGATTGGCTTTTTCCCTTCTCAGTCAATAGCATTTGTCTCCACTAAACGTGGCAGCTGCTCCACAGAAGCGCTTGTTCTGACAAGTTGTTTGCTTTTTCCATCAACATTCAACTATGCCCCGTAGGTGGGTGTGGTCATAGCCGCTAAGTTAAACGAGGCCGTTCAGGAGAGGGAGGAATTGGCGTCCTTGTTTGTCAGGGTTGTGAGAACACATAACAGGTGGACACAAAAGCTGGGGCCTCGTGTCTTGTCCAGACTGCTTGCTGCTGTCCCGGCCAAGCACAAACGGTATAGCGAGGGTGTTCTGAATGCGCCAAGGACACGTCTCAGCTCACCAGTGACCGGCAATTTAACAGGAAGGTCACAGCAGTCTGCACCCTGACTTTGGAACTAGATGCAGGTGTTGGGGATGGACAGGTGTCCACACCTGCCACCGGCCCCGCCCACCTGGCTTTGGAGCTGCCTGCTCCCCTCGCCTCGATGGCTGAGGAACAAAAACGGCCACAACGCCAGGTGCCATGTTTAGCCTCCCGGCTGGACCCTACATGGGGCAGCCAGGCAGGAGTGGCTGGACCATGATCCGTGGGTCCTGGCCCAGCAGAGCCGCGAGGTGGCGGCAGGTGGCTGCGGTTCCCCTGTCAGGCGGGAGGTAAGACCTTATTGCTGACCCCATCTGTGGGATTTTCCACCCAGCGTGTCTCCCTGGGTAGCGGGGGCTGCTCTGTGAGGCACTTCTCATGCCTCACCACGTGCAGTGAGGCAAACCCCTGCTCTGCCATCCTGGCCCCCATTGGTTCTGCAGCGGGGAACAAACTGAACCATTGTCCCAGTGAGCAGAACCACGTGTTTTAAGTTTTAATGCTTAGAAGTCCCAGTTGGCCCAAGCTCTACTGTGCTCTTATCCAGGAGCCAGAGGGTAGGCCAAGGTCCTATGTGTATGACTGGCCTGGTGGGAGTGGCGGCCCTGGGACCAAGCAACAAAGTCCTCGTGGGGCTGCTGACTCAGCACCGATGGCAAGTGTCAGGGACTCTGCAGCCCAGGCCACCTCAGCCAGCCCTGGGGGATGCTCGACCTCTGAGCGCAGACTCAGAGCCCTGTCTGACAGTCGGGGTTCCTTGGGCACCAGGACGCAGAAGTGAGGGGACCACGGAGATATTGCCCTCAGAAGCCTGACCCCTGTGCCTTGGTCTCCAGGGATGGACTGTCTCGAGCTCACAAAGAAGTTCGGGGGTGACGTGACTAACTCTGTTTCTGTCTTCTCCTCCCCTCCTCCTTTCCAAATGCCCCGAAGACCACTGATGACCCGGATGATGCTGCCGGGCACAAAAGTTTCATTTCGGCCACAATGCAGACAGGGTTCTGCGACTGGAGCGCGCGGTACTTCGCCCAGCCTGTCATGAAGGTAGTGGTGTGTCAGCAGCTCTCTGGGTTTAAAGCCAGAATCCCCTGGCATGCACTGCCCCCATCTCCTCAGCAAACGCACACAGGACTCCAGAGCCCCGGCCTCAGGCCTGGGTGTCTGAACCCCTCTGCTCTGAGCTCAAGGTCTGATCCTCACTGGTTTGCTCACTGTGACCCTCGGGGGCCACATGCTGTGACTCCTAGCAGCCCAGGTGCAGTTGCGCAGGCCCTGCCCTGAGCCGTGGCCCGGGGCAGGTGCTGGCTGCACAGGGCCCTGCTGTGCCCACTGGCCTCCTGTCCCACCGAGGGTGGCTGTTGAGGGGACGCCAGATTGCTGTCATGGTAGCTAGTATTAACAGGTAAAAAACAGTAAAAGAAACAGACCTCGCTTACCTGCCTTTTCCGAGCTTGCCAGTATAAAATGTGCCATTTTGTCTTGATTAGCAAGGTCATCCAGGTGGTCCCCAGGCCTCACTTGGGCCGCTTCTGGCTTTGGGGACTGTTGGACTAAGCTAGCTGACTGGGGTAATCTGGCTTATTCCAGGACACTGCCTTCCAGGTTTGATGACGTGACGTGTGTCCTCTTGCTACAGACTCAGGCCACACATTCAGGGTGCCAGGGTGAGACAGGGCAGTGCTGTCAGAGCTGAATCTTCGTGCCCGTCTTTCTGCAGGGAGTGCTGCAGGGGTTCATTTTAGACTTGCTGATCTAAAGCACGTTCTTACAAAACCACCTTCCTCTTCCCTCATAGGTAATGGAAAATTGAAAACTGCAGTTTATTCTCACTTGTATATCAAGCTACATAACCAAGTAATTTCCAGGCAGAGTATTTGGACTCTATTACAACTTTTCTCTGGCCTTCCTGTTTCCCTGTAGTGATACTGATTTTTGTCAGTTACAACACAGAATAACGGTTGTCAGTGCCTGAGGCAGGTGATAGAGTTCTCATTTATCAAGCCCCGTTGCTAAAAAGAAGCACCCTCTCAGTAGCGAAAACTAGGATCCACGGAAATGTCCAACAGGAGGGGAATGGTTAAAAAAGGATGAAGTATTTGATACGATATTATTGGAGCTATTAAAAAATAAAGCTTTGAAATTAGTAACATAAGAAAATGCTCATGATAAAATTTTTTTAAAAGGGAAAAAAAAGCAGGACGTAAACTGGCCACAGGATGGCCATACTTTCTACACTTAGCACGAAGTACCTTTATAATCAGGAAAAAAATATATTAAAGAAATGACCCCGGGACTTTCCTGGTGGCGCAGTGGTTAAGAATCTGCCTGCCAATGCAGGGGACAAGGGTTCGAGCCCTGGTCTGGGAAGATCCCACATGCTGCAGAGCAACTAAGCCCGTGCGCCACAACTGCTGAGCCTGCGTGCCACAACTACTGAAGCCCGTGCGCCTAGAGTCCATGCTCCTCAACAAGAGAAGCCACCACCATGAGAAGCCCATGCACCGCAACGAAGAGTAGCCCCCACTCGCTGCAACTAGAGAAAGCCCACATGCAGAAATGAAGACCCAACACAGCCAAAAATAAATTTTTAAAAATAATAAAAAATAAAGAAATGACCCCAAGAGATCATTGAGGCCTGTTACAGTCAACCAAGTATGTTGTCCACGCCAGGGTCGGCCTGCTTCTGCTGACCTGTCCGCCTGCAGACAGGACATCTCGGGCTCCTCTGGCTAAGGAAGGAGGGAGTAGGCAAACACCAGAATTTGTCCCAGGAGACAGTTCATCACTGGTGCTGTAGGTAGCGAGTTGTCCTTTAGATCTGTGGTACATACCATCTGCTTGAAAGTTAAGGGGGTTTAGTCTAATAGTAATGGAAGTTCAGTTTCGTTGATACAGTCTCCTGCTTAAGGCAAGTGCGGTCAAGTGACTTGGACTCTAGGTGGTTGGTCTGCCATCTCACTGAAACGGCAGTGACTGTAATTCTCGGAAGCTACTTGGTGGGGTGCTGAGTGGCTGTCCTTGAAGTCTCCAGGGATGCCTGTTCTCAGTCATCTACCTGTGGGGAGAAGTGGCATAGGTAATCCAAAACATGTTTCTCTTAAACTTAGAAATGAACTTGACTTTTCCCTAAGAATTTGCTTTCCTTTCCTCAGCACCAGGTACTCAGACTCAGAGTGCAGGTGCCCTCCAGCAGCGCACGTCAGCTGACCGCGGGGGGAGGCTCCGCAGGCAAGGGCTGCGGTTTGTGGGGACCTCTACTTACATGTTCACGTGTTTCACTCAGATGCAGACCCACAGCCACCACTGGAAAAGGCGAAACAAAGCTGCAGGGACAGAGAACAGAGGGCAGGGTGTTGGGCTGGGGCTGGGGGGAGGGCTTGACTACAGAGGGCACGTGGCAGTTTGAGGTGTGGGGGACTGTTCAACATGCTCACTGTGGTGGTGGTTACATACTGTGCCCAAAAGGGTGAAATTTAATGCATGTGAACTGTATCTCGGTCACCCTGATGCTTTACGAGAAGTGTGGCCTGATGATGAAAATGCCCATCGTTGGGTATCAGTACCTGCAGTGAACTCTGATCTGCACTTCAGAGCTTCTTCCTTGGCAGTCAGTGGTCTTCACCCCTTAGATGTCGTGCCCAGAGGTGGCGGGTTGAGCCGGGTCAGCCCGCAGCCAGTGCACACCCTCCCGGTACTGCTGACCCCCGTCATTGTTTGGGGAGGGTGTTTGTTATTAAACGAGGTGAGAGGCAAGCGCAGAGGTACTCTGTCCTGCCACAGAACTCGGCTTTGTTTCTGGTGGGAACCCAGGGAGCTCGGTGTCTGAGAACTTAGCATTGACATCATGAGCCTTCCCCAGGGGTCATGCTGCAATCATGATAGTCACGTGCCTGTCATGAATTTTATCCCGTGCACTTGAACCTCTTTAAATTCAGAGGCATTGAGGGTAAGACCCAGCCCTGTGATTCACAAATTCATCATATGAGAACCTGCTCCACGTGGAAATGCCCGCCCTCAGGCTTCTGCAGACCCTCTGGTCTTCCTTTGTTCCCAAGCCCAGCCTGCCCCAGTGACAGGCGAGGAGCGAGGGGGACACCCTCACCAGCTGTCAGCCGCCAGCTCCTCAGGAGGCTTCAGGAGGCTTCAGCACCGTAATTGGTTTCTGTTTGAGGAAAAGCCAGGAGGTGTTAGGAATTCGAGGAGTGTCGTGATCCTAATCATGTAACACTATTTCCCACACCCACGTCCCTCCAGCTCTGCTTAGAGGAAAGCGCAGCACAGTGTGGGTCTGGGCTTTTGTTTAGTCAGAAGCTTTTGTTCAGCCTGCAGAGCCATGGGGGAGGGGAGGAGCACATGAGCAGATGATTAAGAAAGGCTGAGTGGGAAATCGTCTGTCTGGTCCCTCCGTACATCCTTGTCCATGCCGGCCGGCCAACGCCGGCTGCTTCTCATGGCCTCTTCTGCTCTCTTGTCCTCTCCTCGTCTCACTCCACCCTCGCCTCCCACACTGTCCCACTGCTCTCCGCCCCTGCTTGTCCTAGTACTTCATGGCAATTATCCCCAAGACGCTGCGTGCACTGGTTCCTGGGCTGCGGTTTAGTTCAGTTCAGTTCTGCAAGTCCTTCTCTGAGCTCAGCAGAGCCTGTATGCCCGTGGGACTGCTCCCGGGAGCGCCACGCTCTGCTGCTTAGGATTCAGCCCAGGGCAGTGATGCCCGGCTGTGCCATGGAGGTCAGCCTGTCTGTGTCCCCAAGGCACGTGTGGCCACACTCCCATGCGCAGCTGCCTCCCGTCCCCCTTCCTTCCTCCCACCTGCCCCCACCATGGGGAGTACAGTCCAGAACTTCATGCCTGCCTGTCCCACTCCCTTCCTGCTTGTCTAGACCCTTCCTCTAATATATTCCCGCAGAAACGAGAGATTTATTCAGGTGCAGTCTCAGTCTTTTCATGTGGGGTTTTCTTATTATTGTTCTACGTTATTGGTTATTTGTTATTTGTTTTCAAATAATCTCTGGATTGTCATGAAACAAAACCAACTGGTAAAAACCCGCCGTCTATCCCAAGTACCTTTGTGGGGTTATGTCTACAGCACTAACTGTGCTCTGGAGGCTCTGGGTGACTTTTCTTTGGTTGTCTCTGTGTCAGGATATCTTTGCTGTTTTGCTGGGTGTAGTTTTGTGATTTTTAAGAGAAAAAAAGGAGTGTAGCAGTGAAATGCTGGAACACAGAGGCCTCAGCACCTGTACACAGGGACGAGGTGAGGTTTGGGGTTGTTCATTTGTGATCAGAGATAACACAGAGCATTCTAGGAGAAGACGTGAAAGTGCTCCATGACCGTTTCATGTAATAACTGCCTAAAACGTGAGCTGAACTCCTCTCCGTGTAGACGTCACCTCATTTCTCAGTCACACTTACACACGGGCACGTGCACGTGACCACGTTCACTGTCCTTCATCCTGATGCTTTCTCCAGGATGAATATGGGCTCCTTCTGCCTGTGTGGTGTTGCCTGGCTGAGTACAAGGCTGATTAACTCAGCTAAGTGGAAGAAGGGTTTTTCCTAGTTTACTCGATTCCTTTTGTATTTTGGGATTTTACAACTCTGAGTTTTCAAGCAGGGAACTAGAGTTAGCCAGATTGACTATGTGATTTAGGAGATACATCTTTTTTACATGACAAGTGATTGTTATGAATAAAGTAGACTTAAATCATAACTCATTATTTGCTAAGTGTGGCCCTCTCCTAGGCACACCCATCCGTAGCCCACAGGCACCCACGCCATGCACACACGCCAGCCATGAAGCGAGAAGGGCCCTTATCCAGGAAAGGGGACTGTTCCGCAGCATCCACATACTCCACGTGCAGATAAACTCCGTCTCTTGAAAGCCGATTAGGGAGGGCAGAAGGGTCGAAGCTCCTTCCTCAGTCTCCACCTATGCGGAATCCGATGCCAGCTTCACCCTCTGCTGCATTAGGTGGAGTGGGGCGGGCAGCAACTCCCAGAGAAGATCCCACCCTCAGGCCCAGCCTGCCTCTCGCAGCTGTCACGGGGTAGCCGTGCCCTGGCTGCTGTCCTCTGTCACTTCTCATGAGCTCGTTCATCTTCTAACCAGATGCCTCTGTTCCCTTTGGCATCAAAGAATAAAAGCAAAAGTCTCTGAGCACAGCCCATCTTTTTCCGATTTTGCATTTAAGGGCAAGAAGGAGCAAATTTAGTGTCTGGCACAGCAGGGCCCTTTGTGTCCCCTCCTTCGGAAAACACCCAGCCCTAATCCCTGAACCTCCCCTCAAAATCTTTGAAACCAGCCCCCCTGCTGCCCTGTCAGAGTGCGAGACTTCTGGCTTCCACCATTGGGCCGTCGTGGGGGCAGGGGTTTCCTAAGTCTCCACTCCGTGTCCCCGCGCCGGCCAGCCCTCCCCCCACCCGGTCCCAGGTCTCAGAGCCTCTAAGCCCAGCGGGCAGCAGTGAGCGGCACTCCCAGCATAGAGAGGGAAGCTGCTTCGGGGATCCAGTGACCAACCTCTGACTGTAATGCTCTGCTCTAGCCTGCGGTAGGGCACTGGACACTGGGCTGACCAGAGAACCCAGATTCTTTAGCACCTGTGGAGGACGAATCCTCTTATCTGGAAATAATTGTTTTTTTATTGTTGAAGATCCCGGAAGAGCATGACCTGGAGAGTCAGATCCGCAAGGAGCGGGAGTGGCGGTTTCTGCGAAACACCCGCGTCAGGAAGCAGGCGCAGCAGCTCATCCAGAAGGGTAAGCAGTGTCCCCAGGGGCCACCGCGGTCGTTGAGCAGGCGCCCACCCGCCCTTGTGCAGGGGAGAAGTGAGACTGGCAGAGATGCTCGAGGGAGGGAGGAGTGCCAAGGTGGGGGCACCATCCGCCTGCCTGACAAAGCCTGGTCCCGGGAGACTCTGTGCCTTTGCCCTCAGGGAGACTTGGAAGCTCTCTGGGATCATCGTCCAGGGAAGCTCCTGTCTTGACTGGCAGCTTCTGGGCAATTGTGTCTTCTGCCTTTTGTCGTTTGCAGAGAGGAAGGAGCAAGCCCTCCGCAGGCCCTGGGGTCCACGGCGGAGTGGGCCTGTGTCCTCCCCATGGGGACAGAAGACAAACACCAGGCCCTGGCTGTGTTTACCTGGACCCCACCAGGCCCCCAAATAATTGCTCTCTATCACCCAAAGCTGTGTATCAGTCACATTTTGACCAAACCTTTTACTAAATTTGCCAACAGATGCCCAAACCGCCCACTTTGCATGCCCCCCAGCCCCACCCCCCGGTGAAGTGGCAGTGAGCACCGTGGACAAGTGGCTGCCACAGGGAGGGCTGCTGGGCCGCGGGTCCTCCTCATCTTGGCTGCAGCAGCCCCCCAGGCACTGAAGCAGGGTGGGAGGGGGCAGCTGAGGGCCTCCACCCTGTGATCAGAACAGGGACAGAGTACTGGGGCCCTCACCATCCCCCAGAGACGAGCCTCTCTCCTCTCCCTCTCCCAGCAGTACAGCCCCCACTGGCCCGGGAACCGACCCAGTCCCACAGCTGTGAGTGCACAGGGCGTGGGCTGGTCTTTTGGCTCTGCCTGAGCCCTCATTGCTGGGCCAGCTTTGGGCGGTGGACTGACCCTGCCCAGGTACCGCACAGAGTGGATAAGCAGGCTCTTAACGCTTCTGTTGAATTATTGTCGTGACCTTGCCTCCCTGTCCTGTCAAATTCTCTTGATTATTACCGGTTACTTTTTAAAGTTGAGAGTGAGAACCCATGAGACCGTCCCTGCCTGCAGGCAGCCTGGAGTCGGGGTCTCGTCCCTGGCCCGCCTGCCCAGGCCCATCGCACTCCTTGGCCCACTGAGCACTTCCAGAAGCAGTGCTCTTTCGGAAGCACTTCGGCATGTGTTCACAGTGCTCTCCGTGAGATGCTCGGGTCACGTTTCATTAATGTGCGGTCACTTCTGCTAAAACCAATCTTGGTTGTTTGTAACTCGCCTCTATGAAAGCACTGTCGCAGCTGGATGTAAAGCCTCTGGGATGTGGAATGGAGAGTCTGCAGCTTTCTCCAGGAGAGAGCGAGCTGCCCAGCGTGATAGAAGCTCTCCGCATTATGGGGTCAAGGGCCTATTTTCTTGGAAGTTGGTGGTTCTTTAGAACCCCAGGCCTATGGACGGGGACAGCAGAACAAATTGGTTTCTCTGTACCCACGGGCGCAACCTGGGAGCCAGTCTGCTGCGTGCAGTCGGACATCTGAACGGGGTGAAATTAGAGCCAGCCACTCGAGAAACAACTAGGTTTTCCAGACAAAAAAGAAAAAAAGTATCTCTGTAAATTAGGGTCAGGGGTTCTCTTTTCCAGTCTTTGTGGAAAAAAAGAGGTCTGCTTGTCAGACACACACGGAGAGGAACTGCTGAGCCGCTGAAAACCTTAGCAAGTGAGCTTGCTGACGGGAGCATCACTGCCGGTGGACGTGGGCAGGGAGGACAGGGACGCTAGTGAGTCCACAGCCTCCTCCGCTACCTGCCGCACTCAGAGCCTGGACTCCTCATGAAGTTGTAGTTTTATCTGAGGCCAGCGGTGTGCTGGGAAGGCTGTGAACGGTAGAAGTACGGAAATCACACCTGCGGGCCGAGCAAAGTCACCGGACAAGTCAGCGAGGCCCCGGAATACGAGCTGGGAAAGTTAATGCTGCCTTTTCTATCCATGACCCCTCCGGCCACCCCCCATGACACCATGACTTTGCCATCATACATGGATCTCTGCATGTCTGCAGAACACCTGCAGTGACTCAGGACCTGGGTATCCCCTCATCTTTCCTGGGTCAAATCACGCCTCTGTCCTGGGGAACCCATGCTGTGGGGGAAGGCACCTCTGGGCAACAGTTAAACCCTCTGGGACCTGTTTGCCTGTTAGTTTAACCCTGTCTTGATTGTTGAGTGGTTTTCTGTGTTAGTTGTTTTAGCAAAGGGAGGCGGAAAAGGACTGAAATTGTGGGTGACAGTAGCTCGCCCGGCCGGCGCCAGGTTCACAAAGCATGAGCAGCTCCTCTGTGTCACCCAAGACTTGCGTCCAGCCACTGAGGAGGGGGTGACTCCGGGGCCTGAGTGTCACGAGGGCTGCTCACCCTCTACGACGTGCAGGGAAGAGGGGCCACCATGCCTGGCTCCTCTGCATAAGCCTGTGTCATTCTCCAGAAATGTGTGTGAACCTGTCGGATGCTCTTAGCAGTTTTATCCTCTTTTCGTTGTTCTTCTAAAGCTCCTTCAGGGCCACGAGGGTTTTTTCCCAAGTGGCTGTATTGGGGCCTGGTGAACAAATCCCCGTTCACATCCTTGGCTGGATTGCAGACAGCGATGGCCAAACCGAGGCTTCAGCCTTGGGTCTCAGTTACGAATCTCAGCCTTACTGAGCTTTATTCCAAAATCTTTGGTGTTCTTTTCCTAAAACCTTAACCAGTGTGCACTGATCTGAGTATTGCTGACGGGTTGTCGCAATTATATATCGAATGCTAGCCATGTACAAGCAGAGGCAGGGCCCTGCTGTCAGGAGCCCACCCCTGCGCTGTAACCCCTGCTTTCCTCTGGGCCCCTCCAGGTCCCCAAACATTAGGGACTGGTGTCGGCCTTGGTAAAATACATCATTGACATTTGCTGCAAATTGAGACCCATAGTCGTGTGTTTCCCTTGGCAGGTATCACAAGGCTGGACGACCAGATATTTCTGAACAGGAACCCTGGTGTCCCCTCCGTGGTCAAGTTTCACCCCTTTACGCCGTGTGTGGCCGTCGCTGACAAAGACAGCATCTGGTACGTGGGGCACTTGCAGGGCTGGCCTTTCAGCTGGAGAACAGGTAGCCCCTGGGGGGTGTGGGCAGGATGCCCCTGCACCCTCCTGGTGTGGAAGCTCCTCAGCCCGGGCCTTTGGGCTGTTTCGGGGGGGGGGAGGGGGGGCTGGAAAACTTGCAGAGAGACGTCCCTCCTCCTGGTGTTGCCCGCGCCCTCCCAGGGTTGCACTTGGCCACGTTACCACGGGTGTTCCAGAGGCCTGAGCACGGTTATGTGTGGGCCGGGACGGGAGCTTCTGGTACGAAGATGGGGCCATTCCTGTGCAGTGAACAGAGACCAGTGCACAGGGGCTCATCAGGATCCCACAGTGACAGGACATGTGAGGAACCCGCTTGTGTGCAAGGGCAGCAAGTGTGTGAAGGGAAAGTGTCAGTAACAAGACACCGTGTTAATTCATAGTGACCATTGCCCTTATGTCACTGAGAAAGCGCTCACTTGATGGGAGAGAACCATGGACGCGATTCTTTTTGTAGCTGATAAAATGGATATAATTTTTTTTTTTTTTTTGGCTGTGTTGGGTCTTCATTGCTGCACACGGGCCTTCTCTAGTTGCGGCGAGCGGGGGCTACTCTTCGTTGTGGTGCACGGGCTGCTTCTCATTGCAGTGGCTTCCCTCATTGTGGAACACGGGCTCTAGGCGCGCGGGCTTCAGTAGTTGCAGCACGTGGGCTCAGTAGTTGTGGCTCACAGGCTCTGAGCACAGGCTCAGTAGTTGTGGCACACGAGCTTAGTTGCTCCACGGCATGTGGGATCTTCCCGGGCCAGAGATCGAATCCGTGTCCCTGCATTGGCAGGCAGATTCTCAACCACTGCGCCACCAGGGAAACCCAAAATGGATAGAATTCTTACATGTTTCTTATTCCTCTCCTTTTTTTATACATAACATAAAATTTACTGTCTTCTCCGTTTTTAAGTGTGCAGTTCAGTGGCATTAAGCACATTCACCTTGTTGTGCAGCCATCACCACTGTCCATCTCCAGGACTTTTTCATCACCCTAAACTGAAACTCTGTCCCCGTGAAACACTGACTCCCCCTCCCCACTTCCCAGGCCCAGCACCCCACACTCTACTTCCTGTCTCTATGAATTTGTCTATTCCAGGAACCTCATATAAGTGGAATCATCTAGTATTTGTCCTTTTTTTGACTGGATTATTTCACTTAACAAAGCAGGTGTCAGAACTTCCTTCCCTTTTAAGACAGAATAATAGTCCATGTGTATGGACCACATTTTGTTACATCCTTCCTCCATTGATGAGCATTTGGGTTGCTTTCACCCTTTGGCTGTTGTGAGTGACACTGATATCACCCGGGTGCACCGTGTATACCCAGAGGTAGAATCCTGGCCAAACGGTAGTTCTGTGCTTAGTTATCTTGAAGAACCACTCTTGTTTCGCATGGCAGCTACACCATTTTATGTTCCCACCAGCAGGGCACAGCATTCCAGTTTCTCCACATCCCTGACAACATTTGTCCCTTTCTGTGTTTTTGCTGGTGGCCGACCTGGTGGGTGTAAGGTGGTATTTCCTTGTGGCTTTTGTATTTCCCTGATCACTAGCCTTATTCCTCTCTTATTCCCTGAAGTTTTTGGGACTGGGAGAAAGGGGAGAAGCTGGATTATTTCCACAACGGAAACCCTCGGTACACGAGGGTCACGGCCATGGAGTATCTGAATGGCCAGGACTGCTCACTCCTGCTCACAGCCACAGGTGAGTGGGGTTTGTGTGGTGGGGACCTAAACCCCAATGCAGAGGTGGTGGGGGACAGATGCAAGACCCCAGCACGAATTGGCACAAAGCTTCCTGTGACCTCGATTGTTTCTTCTGGCAAAGGGGACTAACCGCTCCCAAGTGGAGGCCTCCATCATTAAAGGCACACCCATGGGGAGAGGTCCTGCTGGCAGCCCTCCCCAGGAAAATAAAGTCCAGCCCCGGTCCAAAGCCAGCCCCCTGGCAGACATCAGGCAGGGAGGGGGAGGACGAAAACCCAGAGTGGTGCGGGCAGCCAGTAGGGTCAGTTGGGGGTTTGAGGACAGATCACACCGAGCCTCTCTGAGCGCCAAAGAGGAGGCAGAGAGGGTGATTCCCCGGACGCAGAGACACAGCAGAGGAACCCAGGGCCCTTCAGGAGTCGGGTCCCAGTGGAGGTGCAGCACGAGGCTTCACTTCTCAGCAGAGATCAGGCAAGTGTTTCCCAGTGTGTCCCCAGATGACCTCATCCTCCCTCTGCAGCTTGAGGCAAGGTCATCCTTGAGGGCCTCGTGTGAAGGGCCAGTGAGGCCAGAGAGCAGGGTCCTGGGGGCAAGCAACGCCAGGAGGAAGGAAGGAAGGACAGATGAACAGACAGCCAGGTGGTGGACCCACACACTCAGGCCCACCTGGCTGCCCATCTGCCGGAGAACACTGGGGCCTCTGCCCCGTTCTGAGCCTGGAGAGGCAGGAGGAACAACCCGCCCATTTCCTGAGTCTCGTGTGAGGGGAGGTGGGGAGAGAGAGGCCCTGAGCACCGTCCCCTTGAGACTGCCTCTTCTTGGCAGGTGATCCCCTCGGGGGGGATCGGGAATGCTGAGGCGGAGGCACAGCCCTGAAGCCCAAGGTCAGGCCAGAACAGGCCTCACTCTGCCTCTGATAGGCTCCTCACCAGACGAGAGACCCATCTGTCCCTTGGGCTGGGCAGCCTTTGTCCTCCTGTGCCTCCGGGGGAGGGCCCTCCTCCCCTTCCCAGAGCAGCCAGGCCTGCATTTGAATATCCTCTCTTGTCTCCCCAAGATGACGGTGCCATCAGAGTCTGGAAGAACTTTGCTGATTTGGAAAAGAATCCAGAAATGGTGACGGCCTGGCAGGGGCTCTCCGACATGCTGCCCACCACCCGAGGTGGGTGCTCCCCGGGGTCCTGCAGGCGCTCAGTCCACTCAGACTCCCCAAGTAACGACCCAGCCAGCCTCCACCTTGGGAGACTCTGCTCGCGGGTGGAAGTCCTGCCGAGCTCTGACCAGCCCACAGCCCCCGTCCTTGGCTGGAAGCTCGTGTTGCTTGTGAGAGCGTGGCCGCCGCAGGGCCTGGGGCTGCATTCTGTGCCCCTCGTGCCCGAGTTAATCGCCTCTCGGTGATGAGCACACAGCAGGCGCCCCAGTTGTGTCTGGTCCTACGGGGGAGGCCAGTGCGCTGCCTGCCTGCCCTGGGCTGACAGAGGCACGGCTGCAGCACCCACCGGCCACTGCTGTGCGTGCTGCCTGTCGGTGTGCATGGCTGCCCCACGCCCAGGGTGAGAGACACCAGCACTGCCTTCCGGTCTCTGGGTCCAGCCCATTGTCAGGAGGTCTGCACCTCTCAGCCCCGCGCTCGCTGTTCACACAGCATTAATGCGGCCGCGGGTCTGGATTTCCAGGGACACCCTCAGCCGGAGCCGCCCTCCAGTGTGGTCGCAGAGCCGCTGCCAGATGGAGGCGGGAGCGGCTTGCTGTCGGCCCCCTGCTGGCCTGGGGTCTTCGCATGTCCTCGCGTGGCCGATAGGTGCCTCCATGGCTGCTTCTGTCTCCTCCGTCAGAGCACTTGTCCTAGGGAGACGCCGACCCCTGGGGGCACAGCTGGCTCCACGGCAGACACTTCCGTATGTGTTAATTTTTAAAATAGCCATGTTTTTACATTTTCTTCAGGAACAAAATGGTCATGCATACCCACCTCCACAGGACCCAACACAGCCGTTTTCTTGTTGCCCAGGCCCCTCTGGGCCCAGTCCTGGGCTAACGTGGATGACAGCTGCCGTCACAGGTCCCTCTGTCTCTCTCTTGCTTTTTCCAACATTGGAGCAAAAGCCTGATCCCTGCCCTGCAGCGCCCCCGCCTCCCACCCACTCAGCCCCCAGCCCCACCTCAGGCCCGCCTCAGTGCTGCTGGCTGCGGCAGAGCAGGTGGCTGACGGCCTCCCCGTGGCTCTCAGGTGCTCACGCTCACAGGTTTGTTTCACTGCGGGACACGCTGGATGAGTTGAATCGTGGTTTTCAGTCCTTAGCTTCCTGCTGCCGTCCAGCAGGACGGGACACACCCCAGGCTCCCGCCGTTCTGCAGACCCCTGTGCAGGGAAGGCAAGGGCTGGTCGAGAGCAGGGTCAGCCTCCCGGCAGGGCCAGAGGATGAGAAAGTGGGGAGCCCACTGGCAGCCCAGTGGATACACTGTTGTCTAGTTTATTCCTCTTGCAGCGGCCTACCTACCTGCCGCCCCCAAATACCTGCCACCCCCAAATGATGTGTCTGTGGTTTTTTACCCGCGATGCCACTTGCCTTTGCTCTAGTGAAGGTGAAAGCAAGGGTGGACAGCATGCAGTTTGGGAGGGGGGCAGAGAGTCTAGCTGGGAGGAAAGGAGGCTGAGGTGACAGCAGTACAGTCTCAGGGCTCCCCTGCACTTGTCTCCCCCAGATGTCACCTGTGTCAGCTGCTCCTGGCCCAGGTGTGCACTGCAGCCCTAACTTGAGAGTGGTTCCACTGCTGTAGACATGTTTGCTACAGACTCCTTCCTGCTGGACCCTCTCCCTTTCCTGGGTTTCAGAAAGCCCCCCAGGAGAGGCACTGTTGCTGAGGGGTCAGGAAGCTGGTGGGGGTCTTACCTCCAGGTCTTTATCGGCAGGTGGGGTGAGGGGGGCTTTGGGCAGGCACGCAGCACTCCTTGGCGGCTAAGCCAGAGTTCGTTTGGTCTGTCCCCTGCCTTTTGACCAGGCAGCTGTGGGCTTAGCAAAAAGGAAGACATTATTTCCTTGTTCTTTCAGGGGGATGGAAGGTGGAAGGGGTGGTGAGCCTGGGAGGCTGACTGCTCTAAGGGATCAAGGCAGGAAGGGCTTGTGTGCTGCAGGGCCCCGAGGGGCACACTGAGAGCCGGGGAGCCTCTCCGGGCCCCACATCCCTCAGTCTCCACAGCTTCCCTCTGCAGCACGGGGATCGCAGCCCCAGCAGGGCTGGAGAGACCCCCGATTGTAATTTCTATTTCAGGAGCTCAAGCTCAGTAACCGAGGGGCAGGTCTGGTGGAATTCTGACCCCTGTGCCAACTTCTCGTTGCCTTCTGCCCATCAGCACCTTGTTTCTTTTTCTTCACCCGCCTTGGCCTCTGACTTGACAGTTACAGAGCTGTGGGCTGGGACCCTGTGGGGAGAGCTAGCAGCTTCCACAGCAGTTGCTTGTCAGCGTCTGGGGGGACCCCCACAGCTTCAGAGTTCTGGCTGTGTTCCCCCGGGACCTTGTCGGGCAGAAGCAGCAGCCCCCACTCCCTGCTCCAGATTACCGCCCCGCCAGGCACGTGAAGCTCCCTGTACTCCGCAGTGAGGTCCTCCGCCTGGTCTCAGGTCCCAGGCAGCCACGAGCTGTGGGGGGGGAAGAGGCACCCTCGGGGGGGCTGCGGTCATCAGCTCCTCCACGCGCCTGTGACGGGGGATCCTGCACAGCTGTGCACCCCATGAGGCCTGGCCCACCGTGTCCTTCAGCTACAGAGGGCGTAGGGGGTCTCATTTGTGAATGCTGCTGTGTAGGGCACGTGGGAGGGAGGACTTGGCACTCCCTGAACAGTTAGAAAAGTCTGCCTGTGAGGTTCTCCTGCGCGCTCTCCAGCTCAGAATCTGCTCGCCAAGTCGCTGTCGTGGCAGCTTGTTAGCAAAGATTTGATTCCGTGGTTTGTGACTAGAGAGACTGTTTCTTGCGGGAGCCCTACCCCTGCTTTTCGGAAGTCATGTGAAATGTGCAGGGTCTCCGCATCATCTTAGCATGCCCCTGGCTCCCGTGTGTACACGTGCACACAGGCATGGGCATGCATGCATGCTTGTGCACACATGAACACGCTCCTGTGCATGCATGTGCAGTTAGCCTGGGGACACTCCCCTCATGGGGTACCCCGCTGTCAGGAGAACTGAAGTCAGTCTGGGTTCACGGCCATCCCCGGAACTGAGCGAGCCGTGCTCTGAAATAGAACCGGTGGTGGGACCGCCCGTCCTTGGGCCACGGCGCCCACAGACACCCAGATGGAAGCACACTTCCCACCCCCCAGAGGCCTCCTCACTGACCGCTGGGCCCCATGAATGAAGAGCTGTCCTCACTCTAAGGACCTAAACGGAAGTGTCTGCCTCCTCCGGGCGTGGCCAGTGGGTCAGCTCCTGCTGGTTGGGCTGCACTGTGTGCACATCCGGCCACTAACCTCCACTCACTGGAAGTGCCCACGCCGTGTCGGGTCATGTTTCCCCCAAGTCATAGCGCTTCCAATTTCCTGTCTAGAAAGAGAGTCTTTTTAGCCAAAACCCCTGATAATTGGGTTTTCACGTTCAGAGGTACATTTGGCCCTTTTTTCCCACTGCAGCCGTGGCCTGGGCCACCGTCTGCCCCTCTCTCCTGTTTCCTTCTCGGCTGCTCCCCTGTTTGTGGTTTGTGTGATTTTGGCTGATTTGGCTCTGGCTGGCCTGCTTTCCCTTGCATCCATCCCATAATCCCTGTTTCCTCGCAGGTCTGGCCCGAAAGGTCTCAATCTTTCTTGACCGCAGTAAGCAGGGAGGTGAGTGCCTTCTCCCTTATCTGTGAGTGCCAGGGGTGGGAGCCGGCTCCTCTGCTTTGCCTGAGGACGCTCGCTAGCCCGCTGTGCTCTTCAGGCAGCAGAGGATCAGGGCTGTGGTTTTTCTTATTCGTTCCATCTGCACAGTCTCCGCCAATACAAAAAATCATCACCAGCTGAGCACTGAGATCTCATGGGATGAATGAGGTTGACTGTGTGAGGCTCTGGGAAGAAATCTTAACGAAAGCCATAGACAGGACTCTCCCTGGGAGCCGAGGCCTCATGGTCGCACCTCCCGGCCTCCTTGGTGGCCTCAGTCACTCTTGGGCTGGCTCAAGGACAATTCAGTTCTCTGTTCCAGGCCACCTTCACAACAGCCTGGGAATGGAAAACAGTCCAGATCCAAGCCTGCTGGAGTGAGGATGGCGCAGCTCCGCAGGCTCGCAGGGAGGAGGCACATCTCACGACTCCATCAGGACAGAAAAGTCGCTCCAGATTGAGATTTGCGTTCCCACCAAATTTTTCAAAAAAGAATCTTTTTCAGAATTTAATGCAAAGTCTCTTAAAGCATCTGTTTCCATCTGAAAATCCATATACAAGTTTGATAGTTACTAAAACACCTATATGCAACTGACTGTGGATACACATGGTAACACTGGGTTAGCAAACCCATATGCCTGCTCAAAACGAGCCCTTTTCTCTCCTAAGCTCACTAGTCAGGTAAATTGTAAAGAGATGGAGCCTTATGAATCCAGGCAGCAGGTAGAATTCTTGACCTTTAGTTTGCAGCATCTGAGCTTAGAGTATGGCCAGCCTTCTGGTGAACTTTCTGTTCTGGTCTCTCTTTAGTCGCTCCCTAAACAAGGGTTCCCTGCAGGAAGGCATATGTGGCTATGGGTCTGACGGGGTCCCTCGTGCCATCAGAACTGGAGTGGGTAGAGAAGCAGGTCCCGGGAGGCTGAGAACAAGATGTCCTTACAGATGTACAAACTCACAGTTTCGTATTTTACAAAGGACCCTTTTAGTAAAAAGTTCAAAAGGAAGGAAAAAGAGAAAAGAGAAAACCCGAGACTGACTCAATCTTCACTCCTTTGCTTCCCGCCAGCAGTGATGGCGGTGGTTGTAACAGGAAGGATTTCTCTCAGAAAGAGCCTCCTGGGTTCTCAGAGGAATGACAGGGTCACTTGCCCTGAAATCCTGAAGAGGAGCCAGGGGACACCTTTCACGGTCAGGACCTGGGGCGGCCAGAGGAGGGCAGCCCCGTCCCCTGGTTGTCAGCTGCCCGGGGGCAGCAGCCACCCCGGAGGGCAGGGAACAGATCGTCCAGCACCGGTGTGTGTGTGAACTGGACGTAAACCTTGGGCCTTGGGGCAGCTGTTAGTATTCGTTGCCTGGATCATCTGGGCAGCAAGCAGGGCACCGACGGCAGAGCACAGGGGTGGCTGGCGGGGGGAGTCACGGCTGCCCTCCCCTCCCAGCCTTACTCCTCCTCCGGGGTCACAAGCACATCCAGAGTCTAAAATTAGCAGGACCTGGTGAGCAGGAAGCCCTCTCAGTGCAGGAGGCAGGACGCGGGGCCGGGTGGCAGCCCCCATGGGCCCACGCAGGACGGGGCACTGGCCGTGGGGAACGACGGCTCCCTCCTCTCCCAGGAGGCGTGTGCCCCACCCTGTCTCCTCTGACCCTAAGCAGCTGCCACGTGTTCTGGTCCACCTCCCAGGTGAGAAATGGAAGTTTAGGTGAAATCATTTGCTCCCGAGGAGCCCAGTTTTCTGTTGCCAGCCCTGTCCTGTGTCTCTGAACCTGCCGGCTGTCCAGGAGGTGTTCATGGGCCCTGAGGGAGGCCTGATCCCGTGGGGAGGCATTGCGTCTGCATCCCTGGGGAGGGAATGGAGGTCGCCATCCCACAGGTCTGAGGTTCTCACACATGCCTGGTTGGGCAGGGGCTGGCCCCTCCTCCTCGGAGTTCCAGAACCATAGCTCCTAAGGGCGTTTCAGGTTGGGGCTGATGGGTCCTTAGGGATCAGGTCTACATGACATGTCCTCAGAGGTCAGATCCCCATGTTGGGTTCTCAGAGGTCCATTCCAGACGACAGGGTCCTTAGAGGTCAGTCTGGACTGGCCTCTGAGCCTGGAGGGCTGATCATGGACATCACAGGGACCCAAGCCTCTGAAACAACGTGTTTCTTCTTTTCACTGTCTGCTGGGCCTAGGGTTCTGTCTGGTCCCTGACTTACACGTTCCAGCTTCCTAGTCTACAGCCATCCCTGTGCCATACGTCTATATTTTAATGAAGAAATTCCCTCTTTTTCACGGCCAGCTTTTGGATGGGAACATGTGAGCAGAGCTCATATCCAGGATAAAGTCAGATGGGAATCTCTGCATCCTTTTGGGGGCCGCCCACCACCCCTGGCCCCAGGCAGTGAGATGGATGGACCGTGATCTCAGGCACTCAGGGTGCTGGAGTTCGCCCAGTGGGGGAGAGGCTGCAGCACGCGCGGAGGCTCCATCAGTCGAGCACTCTCCGTGTCGAGGCGGCAGCGTCGACAGGGAGGAGGGGCCCTCCTGGGGGGAGTCCAGAGCAGCCTGCCTGCTGCCAAAGAAAAAAAAGGCCAAGGAGGCCCGGGGGAGGGAGGAGGGGCACAGGCTCTGCCCACAGCTGCCACTTTTCTGGGGATGGGGAAGGAGGAGACACTGCTGAGACCGTGCTCCCCAGGAACGAAGTGATTGGAATCTTCACTCTGGTTCAAAGTCACAATGTTCCTGTCTTATGAGTTTTACTTAAATCATAGCCATCAATTTTGTTCCTTGTGCTCAACACGTCAAGGAAGAGCGTCACCCTTTTTATCATCTTTTACCAACTCGTGATGAGTCAGATCATCTCTCCTCCGCTGTGTCTGGAGGTCGAGACACAGGCTTGGTTGGGAAAGGTCTCGAGTGAGAAGGCCAGTGTTTGCGTTCTGTTCTGGGCAGGAGGACGGGCCAGGACCCCAGACCTACAGGAGAATGAGGTGAGGGTCGGCAGGCGCAGGAGGTCGGTCAGGGTGCAAGCAGACTGTTGTTTTTATCCCAGCAGTTTTCACGTTGATCTGAGACTCTTCCACGGATAGGAGCTTACTGTCTTAGGTGACACAGCTTCCGCCAACAGTCTGGTAGAGCTAAGGAAGCAGCCTCGCCCAGATTTGTCTGTATACATAGGACGCCTGCCTCCCCGGCGTGTACAGGACTTGGGAAGACCTTAGGAAACACGTTTCTTGTCTCTGCTGGCTTCACCATGCTTTACAACTGGTTTAAACCAGCATTTGGTCCGCATCAGAGAATCTAGATTTAAAACAGGACTCAGAGCTCACGTGATGCTCGTCCCCAGGTCCTCTGACGGCCACATGGGCACACCTTCCAGAGCCTCCAGTGCAGATGGAGACGCTGGGGCCCTGTGTGGGAGCTGTGTCTCCCCAAATTCACGTGGTGGAGTCCTCGGCCCCAGCACTCAGAGGGTGACTGTATTTGAGAGAAGGATTCAGTTGAAATGAGGTCACTTGGGTGGGCACTAATGCAGGGCGGGCCCCCACTGGCTCTGAATCCATCATGAAGGAGACTCAGCAAGAAGGAAGCCACCACCACTTCATTTGGAGGCCAGGTCAGGCTTCTTACCCCATTGGGAGTGGCCGCGGCCTCCTCTCTGCTTCCTGCATGGGCATGGGCCTGAGACCCCCCTCCCAGTCCTTCTGTGGTCCCCCCAGACCCTCCCCAGCTTGTTCCTGTGACCCCAGAGCATCCCAGATGTCACCTGGCCACATGCTCTCATCGGAGGACCACTCCTTAATTACACGGCTCCTGAAAGCCCCACGGGGCTGACACAGAGCTCCAAGTGCAGTTAAGGATGCCCGAGAACACAGGCCACCCCATCAGTGGTCCATGGATACAGGAGTCTGTGAGCCTCTGCAGTGACCTGGCACCCCAAGTCAGGTCGTGGGTGGGCGCGTCCTCTGCGATTCATTCACACCATGAACACCGGGCACATGGTGAGGGGAAGCAGGTGGCGTGGTTTCAGGCTCTGCTTGTGGGCTGACTGGTCACAGTGTGACTGGGCTGTCCCGGACAGAAGTGGGGGCCACATGCCCTGCCCTCTCCCCTACCAGTTCTGATCGTGGTGATAGGTGAGAGGCCTCGCCTGCAGCCTTGTCACCAGTAGATGCCTTTCTGGCACATTAGGGTGTATTCTCCTGCCTGGGGTCAGGGGCGTTGCAGTGGGGAGACTGCATTCTAAAAGGTGAAACAAAGGCTCGTCCATTTGTTGTGTGGAGCTGACATTCTGCGGGGTAGACATGGCAGCCGCCAGCAAAACAGGGAGGACGGGAAGGGGTGTGCCAGGTGACACATCTGGAACAGGTAGAAGACGGAACAGGGTGAGTCGTAGCCTCACATGGTCGAGGAGGTGAATGAGCACGATTTGGAGGGGCTGCATGGACGTCAGGAGAGGGGCGTTCCAGGCACAGGGCCCACTGTCAGTTAAGAGGACCAGCCTGGTCACTTTTGGAGGTCAAACCTTGCAGGGGCCAGGGCAGAATGGGAAGCCATGGGGGGGTCTCTGGAGTGAGGGTTGAGGGGCTCAGATCCAAGCAGGAACCTGAAGTGACACGTACAGATGAGAGTCTGGAGTTCGGGAGAGAGATCGGGCACTTGGCGGGAACTCCATAGCCTGAAAGGGGCATATCAGAAAAGAACAAGTGAAGGTCACATTGTCCAACTCAGGAAGTCAGGAGAAAAGTGGGCACCCACAGAGAGAAGGGGAAACCATAGAGGCAAACACAGGAGCTGCTGCCACAAAAAGCAGAGACAAATGTATAAAAAAGCATGATGACTTCACTTCAGACTTCAGTATGACCAAAAGAAGACATAAACAAAGTTATAATGTCAGTGACAGAATAGGAGAGGATATTTGCAATATATGAGTTAAACCATCAGTGTCAGAATGTATATTAAAACATACAGGCTGCACACACCAACATCGACCAGGATTTGGGGAAATCACACCTTGTGTCCATTTCTGATGAGACTGCAGACCAGCATCCACTCTGGGAGTGAAACGGCCTCGCCTGGGGAGGTGGGACGCACAGGGATATGTCCCCTTCCCGGTGCTGCCACTTCCTTGTGCAAGGGCGTGTGGAAACGTCAGTGTGGCGTGGTTTACAGGCAGGGAATCGTGGAAGTGATGGGCTCGTTCTCCAAAGGCGTGTTACCCAGAAGTTCAGTACTAATTAACCAGATCTGCATCCGTTGGGTTGGATAAACCCTCAAAACGTAACCTTACTGGAAAAACGCAAATTGCTGGAAAATATACCCCCGTTTGAAATTGGCGACGTTTTTGAAATGTGGGAGATGTGGTTCATGGTTTTGGACACGTGCCCCTACAGGGGAGTGCACGGGGGCCAGCCTAGGAGGGCGCCCAAGGCCTGTGGGTGATTTGTCTGCGGACAGGACAGGCAAGTGAGGCTTTCACTGTCTTAAATTTCACTTCAAGAACAAAAAAAAGAGCAAAAATGATAAGATATTAGCAGCTCTTAGATCTGGGTGGTGGGTACAGGGGTTTCTGTTGTGTTTTTTCTGTGTGTTTGAAATATTATAATTAAACATCTTAAATCTTATAGTCCCTCCTGTGAGGTCAGTGCTGCCCTTAGGGATGCTGAAGGCATTCGCCCCCCCGCCCAGCCCAGTGTAGGGAAGGGCAGTCCTCGATTCATTCACCACTGACCGTCTGTGGTCAGCCCCCTGCCTCCGTGAGGGGCAGCTGCAAAGCTGTTCACCCCCAGGGGACTGCGGGACCCAGGAGACTCACATCTCTGTGCCTCTGACACCCATTCTAAAGTCTCCAGACCTGCCGATCGTGCCCAGGTGTCCTGGAAGGTGGGCATCGTGGACAAACGGTCCTAAGATCCTGCTGTCTCTCTGGTAGATGCCTGGGTACAGCAGAGATATAGAGAAGGCTCTGAATTGTCACCCCGACCTCAAGCTTGCATGAGGTTGGGGACCCACCCTATGGGTTGGCACCGACTGCTTGAGCTGTTGCCCAGAACAGGCTCCCTCGGTGACACCGGTGCCCGTCTGTGTCTCTCCAGGAGCTGGGATGGTGGTGGACTGGGAACAGGAGACCGGGCTCCTCATGAGCTCGGGAGATGTGCGTATCGTCCGGATCTGGGACACGGATCGTGAGATGAAGGTGCAGGTAAGCACACCGTCCCTCATGGGGCCTCCCTGGGGGCGAGGTGGGCCAGTGGGCGCAGACCCTGCCGTCCTTCCCAGCTCCAATTGCCCTCGAGGTCGAGGGCTGAGAATGAGGGTCCTTGAGCGCCCCCACCCCACCCCGCCGCAAGTACTCTGAGCAGGTGGTGTCTTCGGGGTGGGGGGGGCAGGGGAAGCGGGGCCAAGTCAGGCTGCCTCCCACCTTTTAAAGGGATACGATGATTCGGTTTCCATCCGTGTTGGATTTCTTCCTTGTGTGTGCCTGAGAGCAGCAAAAACTTTTCTGATTGGAAAAGCACTTTTCCCCGTCTGGGGGCCCATTTCCTGTTTCCTGCTCTTTCCTGCCGCGCATTTATCACGCCTCCTTCCCTTCTCCAGCGTTTACAGCTGCCAGGAGGAGAGGCGAGGAGATGGTTTATGGGCGGCAGGACTCCCCCTAGACCCTTCCCTGAACTAATTAGGAGTTTTAAGAGGGAGCCGACGATGATTCCTCCTGCCGATATATGTTTCGTCCTCCTTCTTAGGAGAGAGGGAGACTTTGGAAAGTTTAATGGGCGCAGAGGTGTTTGCTGCCCTACCTTCCTGGCTGTGGGCCTCGGGTGCCCGGGCTGTCACTCAAGCAGATGGAGCCTGACTCCCTCTGGGGCCCAGCTCCTCAGGCCTTGACAGCTTCCCCGGTGGAGAGAAAGGCAGCAGCTCCACGCCAGGGTGACAAACGCACCCACGGTGGCTGTAAAGGGATCCAGCAGCTAGTGGGGGTGGGGTGGGGGGCCTGATGCCAGGGTGCCTCACGGGGTCTGTGTCGGCCCTAGGACATCCCCACAGGTGCCGACAGCTGCGTGACGAGCCTGTCCTGCGACTCCCACCGCTCCCTCATCGTGGCTGGGCTCGGCGACGGCTCCATCCGCGTCTACGACAGGAGGATGGCGCTCAGCGAATGGTAATTGGGCTACGCCTTCCCCTCCCTCTGCCAGACAGAGCCAGCCCCCAGAGCCAGCTGGGCACTCCCCGCAGAGCCACATCCCCCAGCGTGTGGAGGAGCACGGCTTCCCACCAGCCGTGGATGGGCTGTTTGGAACACAGGTTTGGGGGTCGGGAGGTCCCAGCAAGGCGCTGCCCTCCTGGGCTCCATTCCCACCTGAACATAGAGAAGGCTACCGCCTCCCGGGTTGAACTCAAGAATAGCCAAGAAGATGGCGTCAGGGACACGCGTGGGTGCTGTGCAGCGCTGGGCCACATGCATTGTCACGGCTTTTCTGGGCACTGCCCCTCAGCCCTGGGCTGAGGCCCAGGTGGGGCCCAGCGCCGTGCCCTGTGTGAGCCGGTGAGCGTGGAGGTCCAGACGCCAGTCACACACGGATGGTAAATGGCAGAGCAACGCTGGAACCCAGGCCCAGCCGTCGCGGGCTCCCGGGTGATGTTTACTGAACACCCACCTTGTCCCTGAAAACAGGCCTGGCCTTTGAATGGGAAGCAGCAGGTGGGCCCATGTGCAGCCACAGGAGCTAAAGGAGCCCTCGTGGGAGGGGACGAGGGGACAGGACTGAGCTGGGCCTGAGAGCAGGCGAGCACCATCAGTGACCCCAGCCGGAAGAGAGTGCAGCTGTGAGGTTGCAGGGCCAGGAGCAGTCGGGGGAGTCAGTACAGGACCCAGGCAGGCAGCAGAGGCGTCAGCCAGACTGTGGCGGGAATTTGGGCCTGAGGCTTGGATGGCGAGTGGGCCCAGGCAGCCCCTGGCTTGCATGTTCCCTGCGGGTCTCTATGGGAGGGTGCCCACTGAAAGCCCACACTACCCACCAAAAGCAGCCATCGTGGAGGTGGGGGAGCAGGGTTTCTTTTTGGGGTGATGAAAATGTTCTAAAATTAGATGTGTGATGGGCGCATAGCTGTAAGGATGTGCGAAAGTCACTGAATATGTGCTTTTAAAGGGAGAGTCTTACAGTATGTGAATCAAATCTCAGTCAAACTGTTATTTTAAGAAGCCTCTCTAGGCAGGCAGTTAACTGGCAAACCAACCCAAGAAGACCTGAGGGTCACAGAACGGCCGTGAGGGAGGGGCTGGGGTCTCCAGAGCCCCCTCTTCGGCCCAAGGTCTGAGGACAGAGACGTGGGGTCTCCTGTGCATCCCCAGGCACCAAGACTTATGTGTGCTGGGTGTGACCTGAGTCCTGGATGCCTTCCCAGATGTCACACTCTGCCCCCACCTCCCCAGCACACGCATCCCAGTCCCGTACTCCCTGTCAAAGACCCTCACCAGGCCTCCAGGAAAGCCCCTGTGTCCCTCCATTTCGACAGCCTTAGAGTCTGGGGTTCTTGGTCTTGACCCTCAAACCCACAGGGAGATGCCAGTGTGAAGTCCTGGTAGGGGGGCTGGCGGTGCCCAGGCCCCGGGAGGGCATGACAGCCACCCTGCCTCCGGAGGTCCCAGCGTGGCCCAAGGTGTTTGGGAGGCCCCCAGGGAGGGGCGTACCTGGGGGGTTCAGTCACTCACAGTGAACACAAGAGGGTGAGGGCAGACCTCGCAGCACCGGCGGACCCCGGACGCTTTAAATAAATGCTCTGTTCCCTCTGCTCAAAACGAAGTCCACCCTGCCTCCCATCCTGATGCCTCGGAGCATCAGGGACACCCACAGTTGTCACCGGGCCCTGACCCCACCTTCCTCCCCTCCAGCCGCGTCATGACATACCGGGAGCACACGGCCTGGGTGGTGAAGGCCTACCTCCAGAAGCACCCTGAGGGCCACATCATGAGCGTCAGGTAATGAGCATGGAATATTCATGAGACATTTTGCTGTAAAAACATTATTTTCCCTCCATCTAAAATATGTCCTTGATATTTAAACAGCTGGGAAATGATGGCATTTCAGGGTAGTAATTAACTTCTGCTCTGGGACAGGCCAGAAAGGTCAGAGCCGGCACAAGGGTGGGGACAGCAGGTCCTCCCACTGGAGAACTTTGCCTGTGGGTGACTTGCAGCGGCAGGGGACGGGGTGGCAAGGCGGCTGGGCAAAGCCTCCCCGCAACAGCGGCATCTGCCTGGCGTGTGCCAGTATCACTGTGCGGATCCGTTGTCTGCCCATAAGTCCATTCCTGCTGCCGGTAAATCCTGTGCTGAGAGCAGCGCATATTTATTTGCCCGTTAAAGGGACAGAAAATGTAATTTACTGTCACAAAGCCACCATTTCTTCAAAGAGATGCTCTTCCCTTGTTTGTAACGTGAAAACAGAACATAGCTCTCAAAACGATGTCCGCCAGGCCCAGGGCAGGGAAGAGGTGGCCTACTGTCCTCACCTCCCGCCCGTCGCCGCATCCCCAGCTGCACAAAATCTAATCTCTGGCCGGAAATGAATAACTCACAGCCTCCCCTGTGTCTTTGCTCACCGCTGCTTCGTGCCTCGGCAGCTGGGCCCTTTCTGGCTCTGGGGAGGGGTCCAAGGGGCTCGGCGGCAGGCCTGGCTGCCAGGGTCGGTGGGGTGGGCCCATGTGCCATCCAGGGGCCTCCCTGGACACTCTGAGGGTCCAGGGAACCATGGCCTTGAGCTGCACGTGTGGACGGCCCCTGACCACACATGGCCCGTCCTGGGGCCGGTAGGCCCGCCCAGCATCACCACAACACCCTCTTGGCAGCGTCAACGGGGACGTGCGCTTCTTCGACCCTCGGATGCCGGAGTCCGTGAACGTCCTGCAGATCATTAAGGGGCTGACGGCCCTTGACATCCACCCCCAGGCAAACCTGATCGCGTGGTAGGTGCCGGCCCTCTTCTCTCTCCCCGCCCTGCCTGACCAACTCCCGGGGCCCTGTGTAAACAGCAGGCACTACTGCCCGCCCCCACACCTGTGGAGGAGAGCTGGGTGGAGGGACTGAGTGTGCGGCCCCTTTGCTGCTCCTCACCTGCCTGGCCTCCCGGCCCTTGAGGCCCAAGTCCTCTCGTGGGGGTGACCAGAGAGGAGCCCCATCTCCTTGTGGACACGCCCGCCTCCCCACGCTGACTGCCAGGCCTTCTCGTGTGCAGTGGCTCCATGAACCAGTTCACCGCCATCTACAATGGCAGCGGAGATCTGATCAACCACATCAAGTACTACGACGGCTTCATGGGCCAGCGAGTCGGCGCCATCAGCTGCCTGGCTTTCCACCCGCACTGGGTCTGTGTCCCTGCGGGAGGCGAGGAGGGCGGGCGGGAGGCTAGCAGCAGCAGCAGGAGGGGTGCTGCAGCCAGGCCCCTCCCCACACCACAGTGTGGCCCAGGGTCTCCAGGGGCCGTAGCCCCCAGACTGCACTCACTGTAGAAGCAGCACCAAATTCCCTGTCAATCAAAGCAGATGTGAAGTAGCCCCGCCCTTTCTGACCCCTTCGGCCCCTACACAGACCCCAGTCCTGGAGAAACCTCCCCCTGTAAAGCCCACTGGGGTAGGAGCAGCCCAGACCCCTGTGACCCGGCTGACAGCACCGTCCTTCGTTACAGTCGGCCGTGTGGTTGGGGGCTGCTGTGTTTTAAATTAGGATTCTGCCAACCTGCCTTCGTGCAGCGTGAGGCTCCCTCGGAGCCCGGCGTGTGGCTCTCTGCCTAAACGCACGACATCAGTCTCCCAGAGCTGTCCCTGGGAGGCCATCCTGAAAAAACAAGTGTGGGAGGCATGGGGAGTGTGCGGATTCCCTGTGACAGGGAGGAGATGATGCATCTCTGCAGAAGCCGCAGCCTATGGGCCCTCGTTCCCGCGCCTGCCTCGTGGGCGGAGTTGGGGTGTCAAGGCCCGGCCGGCACCCCCTGGATGCTCACTGCCTGCTCTCTGCTCCCTCCTGCAGCCTCACCTGGCCGTGGGCAGCAACGACTACTACATCTCCGTGTACTCGGTGGAGAAGCGCGT